TTAAAATGGCTCCCCAGCCTTATGCTTAAGCGCTGTTTAGTGTTCTTAAGCACAAGAAGGCTGTGATGTGCTCTATAGAAAAAAAAAAAAGTACTTTAAATGAGTTACAGTGTTATCAGACAGGAGTTCAATGCTAATGAATCGACAACATGTATTAAATAAGGCGTCTTTAAACCAACACACACAGGGAACAAAATTCTGTATTGATCAGCTGACAAAAATACTGTGATCGGACACCCTCAGGAACCTAATCCTGTGTTTCTTCTAGGAACAGTGGTTCAGTATTCACTAAGCCAGTGTCCACAGCGAAGAACTACTGCAAATAACAAGAATCAGCAGAAGGAGTGGGCAATGTGGCACAGCAAGTTTAGCTGCCACTTGGGCAGCCCACAAATCCATACTGGAGTGCTGGTCCAAGTCTCAGCCACACTACTTCTGATCCTGCTTCCTGCTAATGTGACTGGGAAGGCAGCAGAGGATAGCCCAGGTACTTGAGTCCCTGCTACCCATATACAAGACCTGGATGAAGGCCAGCGCCGCGGCTCACTAGGCTAATCCTCCGCCTTGTGGCGCCAGCACACGGGGTTCTAGTCCCGGTCGGAGCGCCGGATTCTGTCCCAGTTGCCCCTCTTCCAGCCCAGCTCTCTGCTGTGGCCAGGGAGTGCAGTGGAGGATGGCCCAAGTGCTTGGGCCCTGCACCCCATGGGAGACCAGGAGAAGTACCTGGCTCCTGCCATCGGATCAGTGCGGTGTGCCGGACGCAGTGCACCGGTCGTGCCAGCCATTGGAGGGTGAACCAATGGCAAAGGAAGACCTTTCTCTCTCTCTCTCTCACTGTCCACTCTGTCCAAAAAAAAAAATCTCTCTTGCACTATTTTTCTGTTTCCCCCTCTGTCACTCTTTCAATTAAATAAGTATTTTCTTAAAGTGCCAACTTTTTTTTATATTTTATTTTATTTAATGAACATAAATTTCCAAAGTACAGCTTATGGATTACAATAGCTTGCCCCCCCATAACTTCCCTCCCACCCACAACACTCCCCTCTCCCACTCCCTCTCCCCTTCCATTCACATCAAGATTAATTTTCAATTATCTTTATATACAGAAGATCAATTTAGCATATATTAAGTAAAGATTTCAACAGTTTGCACCCACACAGAAACACAAAGTGTAAAATACTATTTGAGTACTAGTATAGCATTAATTAAACAGCTAAGAGTAATTGTGTATTAATTACAGAGTTCAACCAATAGTTTTAAGTAGAACATAAAAAATACTAAAAGGATAAAGTATTAAGTTCTTTTTTTGTTATATAGTTTTTTTTTATTTAATAAATGTGATTTTACAAAGTGCAACTTTTGTATTGTTGTGGCTTCCCCCCAACACCTCTCTCTTGTGGCCCTCCCCTCTCCCACTCCCTCTCCCATCCTGCCCTTCATCGAGTTTCATTTTCAATTACCTTCATATACTGAAGATCAACTTAGTATATACTAAGCAAGGATTTCAACAGGCTGCACTCACACAACCGCACAAGGTATAGGGTATTGTTCGACTAGTAGTGTTGTTTTTAAGTTTCATAGTAGAACACATTAACGACAGAGATCCTACGTGGGGAGCCTGTACCCAGTGACTCCCGTTGTTGATTTAACAATAAAGTGCCAACTTTTTAAAAAAAAAGATTTTTTCATTTTTTATTTATTTGAGAGGTAGATTTACAGACAGTGAGAGGGAGAGACAAAGAGAAAGGTCTTTCATCCACTGGTTCACTCCCCAAATGGCTGAAACGCCTGGAGCTGAGCTGATCCAAAGCCAGGAGCCAGGAGCTTCCTCCACGTGAGTGCAGGGGCCCAAGTGCTCAGGCCATCTTCTACTGCTTTCCCAGGCCATAACAGAGAGCTGGATCGAAAGAGCAGCAGCCAGGAATAGAACTGGCACGGATATGGGATGCTGGCGCCACAGTCGGAGGATTAACCTACTGAACCACAGCATCGGCCCCTAAAGTGCCAGCTTTTTAAAAAATCAGCTGAGCTTGTAAAACAAGACAAAGTCATGTCAGAGAATACCAGGAAGCCAGCACTGTGGTACAGCAGGTTAAGCAGGAGTCCCAGGTGCTCCACTTCCGATTCAACTCCTCAGTGCACCTGGGAAACAGCAGAAAACAGCCCAAGTGTTTAGGTCCCTGCCTCCCATGTGAGAGATACAGATGAAGCTCCTGGCTTCAACCTGGCCCAGCTCTGACTGTGGCTGCCATCTGGGGAGCGGATGTAAGATCCTTCTCTGCCTCTCCCTACATCTGCCTTTCAAATAAGTCAATCTTTAATTTAAAAAAAAAATATTGGGGAGAAAAGCAGATACAGGGTGGAAACAAGGTCACAGGCTAACATTATGGATGTTATTTTAAACTAGCAAATGATGGGGAGAGCTAATTCTAGCCATTTTTCCCAGACTAACCAAAACAGCCTAGAATAGAACTGAAATTTGGGAGGCCTTTCTTGCCCAACTCTGTAAAAAAATTAACTTGAACTAAATCATTTAAACCCTTCCAAGCACCAGTTTCTTCATCTATTAGAGCCATTTAAATCTTGTGGTAATAAGAAATCAAATCTGCCATAATGTATTATCCACAAATTTTTATGTTTTCACATAGATTATCTCATTGTATGGCCTCATTGGACTCTTCTTACTCCAGAACCATGTAACTTAAAAGAAGAGAATAACTTGGCCAAAAAGAAAAAAAAAAAAAAAAAAAAAAAAAAAAACAACTTAAATGTTTGTAATACTAAGAAGAAATGTCCTTTGGAATCAGACGTTAGTCAGAAGGACTTCAAATATAAGAGTTGGACAACTGGGAACTTTCCAAATCAACGTCTTAAGTCATTAGTGTCTTTCACAAAGTGAGAAAACTATTCCATGGGTATGCTTGCTTCAGGGTCCCACAATCACCACCAATTTTGCAAATGTGGAGGAGCAAAAGCACCACTAGATGGAGCAGGAACAAAAGACGTGAAAGCACACTTGTAGTCTCCAAACAGTAGTATTTAGATATCCCTTTCTAAACAGAGTCTAGTGAAGCCGAATTACTCTCAGTGTAGAACTCAGTAGCAAAATCAGAACTAGAACTTCAATCTATCCTTAATTACATTGGGTTCTTTTCCGCAAACAATGACGACAGGGAAAAACTTTTTCCTTTATAATGAACATTACTAGCAACTATGGGTTCTGGTGTTTTTTTTTTTTTTTTCCCACACTTCTTAATAACGCTTAGAAATATTTTTGTGTGCCTAACTGGCTGAGATGCTATACACATACAGGTTCATGAATTTACTGACATTGAGAGCAGGCATTTGGTGCAGTAAGCCACCTCTAGAGACTGGCCCAATCTTTTATTTGTGAGTCTGACTTAAGTACCTGCTCCTCCACTTCCTATCCAGCTCCCTGATGTACCTTGGGAGGCAGCAGATGATGGGTCAAGCACCTTAGTCCCTGGCATCTACATGGGATACCAGGATAGAGTTATGGATTTCTGACTTCTGCCTAGCTCAGTCTTGTTGCAGGCATTTGGAGAAAGAACCAGTAGATGGAAGATCTGCCTTTCAAATGTTGAAAATACTTATATTTACTTACTTGACCCTCCTGACTCACCTCAGGATTAGGACTGAGACCCTCCCTGATGGTTGGCCTTTACTGAAGGTCCCTTGCTCTCTCCAAGAATCTGCCCCTGGAAAGGCAGTCTTAAGAAAGTGAAAGCACTGAATTGGGATGAATCCTCACATATCCTTGGAGTTGCATTTTCAGGATGAATGAGCAGAATGGTGGCCTGTCAGCTGTGAGCATCAATTTGTTCCCTTAAGGGAAACCTGATTCATGGTTAGAGCAGAGGTCTAACTGCTTGGAAAACCAGCATCCCACATAAGCATGCCTGAGATAGAGCCCCATCTTCCCTTCCTGCTAATGGATGCCTGGGATGCAGCAGGTGATGGCTCAAGTACTTGGGTCCCTGCCACCCATGTGGAACACCCAAATTGAGTTGAGGCTCCTGCCATTGGCCTGGCCGAGTTCCAGCTGGTGCAGACATCTGGAGTGTGAGTCAGAGGATGGAACACCTCAGTCTGCCTTTCAAATAAATAACAATAAAAATTTAAGAGATTAAAAAAAGGGAGGCCAGCGCTGCAGCATAGCAGGTAAAAGGCCACTGCCTGCAGTGCCAGCATCCCATGTGGGTGCCGGTTCAAGTCCCGGCTGCTCCACTTCCGATCCGGCTCTCTGCTATGGCCCACGTCCTTGGGCCCCTGCACCGACATGGGAGACCAGGAAGAAGCTCCGGTCTCCCGGCTTTGGAAGGGCGCAGCGCCGGCCATTGTGGCCATTTGGGGAGTGAACCAGCGGAAGACTCTCTCTCTGCCTCTGCGAAACTCTGCCTTTCAAATAAATAAATAAATCTTTATTAAAAAAAAAAAAACACGGGAAAGGCTGAGATCACGTAAGAGGGCATACATCCTTGTCATTCATCACTTAACACTTCACTGGGAGATGGAAAGACGAAAACGCGCAACTATATTTACTTGAGAGGCAGAGTTGGGGGGAGGTATAGCGGATCTTCCATCTGCTGGTTCACTCCTCAAATGGCTAATGCGAAGCCAAGGGCCTGGAACTTCATCTAGCTCTCCCTCAGCGTGCAAGGGGCAGAGCACTTGGCGCCATCTTCCACTGCATCCCCACGCCCACCAGCAAGGAGCAGGATCGCAAGTGGAGCAGCCGGGATTCCACTGGGCACCATTACCGGATGCCGGCATCGCTAAATGGAGGCTTACACAGCAGTGGCATAACGCTGGCCCCAGCAGCAGCTGTTGAGGAACACAATTTCCGTTGACAGAGCTACTAGCTCCTCTAGTTAAATAGGAACTATTTAAAGGTCTCATACACACAAATCACTGCTCTTCCATACCGGAATAAGGAACTCGGTGAGATTTACCTTAAGACGTAAAAACAACTCGAAATCTGCAGAGCACGAACTAGACTTTACTAACAAAAAGCGGGAGAGTGAGACATACTCAGCAACCTGTAGCTGGCAACCTTGGCTCACTGCCCACTCATCTGGCCAACCTTGCAAGTGCGTCCCGGCTCCCATGTGCACGCACCACGGCCCCATCGGCCACGTTTGGGGTCCACAAACACACCCTCGATAACGAGGGAAGGCACACTGCAGCGCGCCTCGGCAGGTAGCGTGTTTGAGCCGAGTCCCGGGTGCAAGTCCCACAGCTCAGGGAAGCGCACCACGCTGGGGGACCCGCTCCGTTCCTCTCCCTGCGGCCAGACGGCCTGCGCCTCGCCCTTGGCCCCCGAGGGACCCGCGGCTGACAGAGCCTAACTCTTCGCGGCGGCATTGGGCACCTCCGGAGAAGCCCCGGGCCGACCGCGGCCTCAGGCGGGGCACGGGGGCCGGGCGGGCGAGCCACCGCAGGTCCCCGGGAAGGGCGAACCGGCCAGCGGCTGACATTTTTTGTTTACTGCGAAATGAACGGTGGACGGCGGTAGGCCAAGGCTTTTCCCACGCGCTGAAAGTCAGCGAGAAAAACAGCGCGCGGGGAAACAAAAGCGCGGCGCCTACGCCCTGCTCAGTTAGGGTTAGATGAGAAATGACCGGGCCCCTCCCGAGCCCACCCTCCTCAGCCCGCCGCGCGCCGGCCGGAGTCGTCTTATAAAGGGAGCGGCGCTGCGCGCGCGGATTGGCCGAGGCCGAGCGTCCCCGGCTATCGCGAGGTTTTCCAAAGCTCCGTATCCGGCCACGAGGCCGAGCGCGGCCCCGCCCCCGCGTCGAGCCGGCGTCTAGATCTGATCTTCCGGCTGTTCCAGAGGCGAAGCTGCGTGGAGCCGCTTTACGGACCGGAGGCGGGTGCGCCTTGACTGTCGTCAAAGAAAATGGAGTTCATAGGAAAACGGAGTTCGTAGGAAAATGTTTAGAGATGACCACACAGAACAGCGGTTCCAAGTTTTACTTGCCACACTGGTTGGAGGACTTTGTAAAAATAGATTCCCAGGCAGCCCTGATGAAACCAGGTGCCCGCCCGGCCCAATGGGCGCCCGTCCCCTTCTCTGAACTCTCGCTTCTTAAGCTTCTTAAGCAGAGGATGGACTTTATTATGTTACTACTTCATTCTTAGTTTTAATATTAAGGACGGAATCTCCCTTTTCTTAGGAAAGAAAGGCTTTGCAATCATTGCCTTTGCTTTAAAGTCTGAATGACTGTAGTCATTAAGACTAAAAAGAATACGCCAGAAATGGTTTTTTTTTTTTTTTAGGTCCAGAGTAAGTGGTTTTACATATAACCGGTCGGCCGATCTTAAACGTTTTACACTGTAAGTGGCTTATAACTGTTCGGCTGATCTTAAACGTTTAACCTCTGTTGGATTGGGTGAACTGCGGGAGGTTGTCTCCATTGGTTCTTGATCTCAGAGAAGTAAAAGTGAGAAGTTAAAAGGGGGGAGGGGGTAACGTTAAATCCCTGGCCTGCAGCGCTGGCATTTGGGCGCCGGTTCTAGTCCTGACTGCTCCTCTTCCAGTCCCGCTTCCTGCTGTGGCCCTGGAAGGCAGTAGAGGATGACCACGGTCCTTGGGCCCCTGCACCCAAGTGGGAGACTTGGAAGAAGCTCCAGGCTTCGGATCTGCGCAGCTCCTGCCGGTGCGGCCCTCTGGGGTAGTGAACCAGCAAACAGAACACCTCTCTCTGTCCCTACCTCTCTCTCTAACTCTTTCAGATAAAAATGAAATAAATAGGTGCTGTGCGGTTAGAGTCCCAGCTGACCTACTTCTGATCCAGCTCCCTGCTATGGCCTGGGAAAGCGGTGAAAGGTGGTCCAAGCAAGTGCCTGGGCCCTGCACCCGCCTGGGAGAACTGGAGGAAACTGGAAGCCCCTGGCTTCCAACAGGCACAGCTGCGGCCTATGCGGCCAATTGGGTAGTATACCAGCACATGGAAGACCTCCCTCTCTCTCTCTCTCTGTGCCTTTTGTTCTCTTTGTGTAATTCTTTGAAATAAATAAATAAATATCTTTTTTAAGAGGGGGGAGGGTTAGTTTGCAACCATTTTTAAAGCGAGGGAACTATAACTGAATGTTCACGTTTTATTCCCCCTATCTCGAGTTACTGCAGGGGAAAGAACTATTAGTGAATCTATAAGAATATTGCCAGCTAGTTAATCAATTCACTGCCCAAGAGGCCATGTGCCCGGCTAGCCGAGCAAGGTACTTCAGTATCACTTTAAACTTTTATCTCTTAACCATTTCAAGTCGCAATATGTAAACTTCTAAAATGGGAATAACACCTTTCTTGCCTCACTCTCTGGGGTACTGATGTATAAAATGCTATGATGAGCTATATTTTCTTTAAATTGCTTTAAACAGAGGGGTTAGGATCATCCTCTGCAATGCTTGTTAATATAGGGATGCTACTAGCATCAGCTGTTTCCACCGCCCTTGTTTCCTACAAGTTACCCAATCTAGTCTTGTTTACAATCAAGGAATGAAGGGCACTTCTTCACAAAGGTTTTAATCATGCCAAACCCAGTTTCTTCCTACTACTTGTACATGCCTATTGTCTTGGCGCCCTGGCTCTGCAGTTCTCTGGTCGGTTCTGTATATTTCTATACCTCCTGACTGCACCACTGGACAACACAAAGGCATACCTGGATGCCATGGAGGAAGTGGACCAGAACTGTAAATTCTCTAATTCTCAAAGGCAACATACTGCATTTTGAAAGTGCCTGTAAGTACATTATCTCACCTTCACAGTGACCCTGTGAGACAGACAAGATTGGGAAACCCCATTTTACTGAAGAGATTTGTCTTCAAAATGTTTAAACAACTTGCTTAAGTCATACAAATCATTGTCCCTAAATACAAAGGGAAAGGCACTTCTTTGGGTTTAAATTCTAGCTGGCCTGGGGCCGGCGCAGTGGGTTAACGCGCTGGCCTGAAGCGCCAGCATCCCATGTGGGCCTCAGTTCGAGACCCGGCTGCTCCACTTCCTATCCAGTTCTCTGCTATGGCCTGGGAAAGCAGTAGAAGACAGCCCAACTCCTTGGGCCCCTGTACCCACGTGGGAGACCAAGAAGAGGCTCCTGGCTCCTGGCTTTGGATCGATCGGCGGCTCTGGCTGTTGTGAGTGAACCATCAGATGGAAGACCTCTCTCTCTCTGTGTAACTCTGACTTCAAATAAATAATCTTTAAAAAAAATAAATTCTAGCTGTCCTTTAAACAAAGACCTAAAGCTAAATCTACTAGAAAAATCTTTAACTTGATCTTCAGATGGTACTAGACCCTCTTACAGATCTACAGAGTATTTTATATTTTTTAGGTCACTAAACCACTTTCTACCTTGTGTCACTGGCATTTAGGTATGATCTTCATCTCTTCTACTAGACTGACAGTTTCTTATGATTAGATCTTACTCCTGATTTAGCACCCATTGCGCTTAGCACAGTACCTTGCATAGAGCAAACACTAAATACTTTGAGTTATATCAGTAATACCACCATTCTCTAGCTATCCAGAACATCTCAGTCCCAACTTTCCCTTTCACGTCATGGAGTCTTGTCAGTTTTTCATAATTTCTTCTTTTTCCTATTGCTGATAGTCTGGAGCACAAGACTTGGCTACTTTATTTCTAACAATTTCCTAACTACGAAATCATCAAGGCTCTTTCCAATTTATTCTCCAAATCACTTCCACATTTACCTTAACATTCCTGTGTCTACTGCTTCTAAATCTTTAATTGATCCCCTTTGGCTATAGGACATTTAGCACATAAAGCCTTTCAGTCCCTGGCCTTAATTTGCCTTCGTGGGGCTGGCATAATAGTGCAGTAGGTTAAGCCACCCTTGATGTCGGAATCCCATATAAGCAGCTCCCTGCTACTCTGCTGCTGATCCAGCTCCTTGTCAATGTGCCTGGGAAGGCAGTGGTCTTTGGACCCCTGCCACCCACATGGGAGACCTGGATGGAGTTCCTGGCTACTGGTTTGGGCCCGGCCCAGCCACACCTGTTGTGGCCATTTGGGGAGTGAGCCAGCAGATGGAAGTTAGTTCTCTCTCTCTCTCTCTCTCTCTAACTCTGGCTTTCCAATAAATAAATCTTTTTTTCAATTGCTTCCCTACTCATAACTCACACCATTGCATACGCGCTCTTCATTGTAACATAATAAGTCTATTCAGCATGCCTTGAATACACTTTGTCCATTTTCATCACAGGTTCCTTTCTCATCTCATTGTGCTTGCCTGGATATCTGCCTTCTTTTTCCCCACCCACCCTAATGCCACCCGTAGCAGCACAGCAACCTCCTTTACTTCCCTTCTTCAAAAAACTTTCATCTTACAGCACTCATTGGACACACAGCACATTGTACCTCAATTGCCCTCTCTTTTAAGGAAATATAAGCTCTTCGAGGTCAAGAATAGTGTTTCAAGGGGCAGGCATTGTGGTACAATGGGTTAAGTAGCTGCCTGGGATGCCCACATCTCATATTGGAGTGCTCTTCCAGTACCGCCTACTCTGCACTTTGGATTCAGCCTTTGGCTAACGCACCTGGGAGGCATCAGAAGATGATCTAAGTCCTTGGGCCCTGCTACCAAGGTAGGAGACTAGAATGAAGCTCCTGGGCCTGGCTGTTAAAGGCAATTAGAGATGGAGCTAGCAGATGGAAGAGCTCTGTCTCTGTCTCACCCTCTTTGTGTGTCTGTCTTGCAAGTAAATAAATAAATGCATAGCATTTAACTTTGTTCTACTCAACATGTGTTGTTTGAGTATCTCACCATTATTATTTACCCTATTTATAGAAATGCAACAAAGACATGGGCATCCCAATCACTGAAATATTTTCTGTTCTCCCAGAAACATAATAGCGAAAGTTTTCTGTCACATATACAAAAAACATTTTTTTCTAACCATTTTATCTGCATTTCAGAAGCATCTTTGGTGTACTATGTTGGGCCCCACTTCTTTAAATTCTGCAGCAGTGATCCACATGTCCTGGAAGGCAGACAGGGATGCAAGAATAGAACCTCCCATCCACACTGATATTTTCCTTTCTGGGGGAGCTGTAACCTGTACTGGCGTGTTGGCGGGTGCCACCTTTGCTATATCCTTAACCAGCCGCTTGTCTAAGCCAGGGAAAGAGGTTGATCCCCCAGAAAGGATAATATTGGAGAAGAAGGAATTTCTCAGCTCTGTATCGCATTTCATTATGCTGCTGAAGCACATCTTATCAATGCCAGGGCCATCCACGTTCATGAAACTTGGACAGAAGAGGGCCTCTGGACAACGAAAGAGCTGCTCATGAAGCTTGATCATCTTCCCATCGGGGAGTTGGTAAACTTTCTCTATACTCTCAGGTTTCTTGGCCATTTCCTCTTCATAGTTCATTGCTACATAACAGGTGGTCTCCTTAATGTCTGCGACCACCTTTCTGTCTGCAGCACTGAGCAGCATGATCCCATGGTCTTTCAAGAGCATCATGAGGTAGCTGGTGAGGTCGAGGCCTGCCAGATCCAGCTGCTGGACACCATGAGGCAGACAGTAGCCCTCAAAGATGGGCACACACTGGGTAGCCCCGGCGCCTGAATTCAGCACAAAGCCAGTAGTGAAGCCAGCAGCAAAGAGAGCCAGCACAGCCTGGATGGACATGTAGAAGGCAGGCACATCTAGGTGCTCAAAAAACACCTCGGCGATGCGCTGTCGGCTGGCCAAGGGGTTCAGAGCCGGCTCCGTGATCAGGACTGGGCCCTCGCAGGGTTTGAGCTTCAGGTTGGCGTCGTAGATGTGCTTCCACATGATCTCCATGTCCCCCCAGGAAGTGATGAGACCGCGCTCCACCGGGTAGCTGTGGGGAGAGTGACAAGACCAAGGCAGCGTTCGCTTTTCCAGTTTCTGTTCCTAGTCCCTGTGTTTATTCGCAATGTCCCTTCATGAACAGCACCTGCCACAGCCCCTCAGAGAAGATAGTGGTGCAAAAATGAGCACAGATACTACCTTCTTGTACCGTTATTTCTTGCTTACCAGTTTCTCTCTTTGTTGTTTTTAAAATTGTAAGTTTGAAAGGCAGAAAGAGAGAGATTGAGAGAGAGAGAGAAATCTTCATCTACTGGGTCACTTCGCAAATGGCCATAACAGCCAGAGCTGGACCAGGCTAAAGTGGAAGCCAGGAGCCTGGAGCTCCATTGGGTCTCCCACGTGGGTTGCAAGCGCCTGGGCACCTGGGCCATCTTTTGCTGCTTTCCCAGGCCCATTAGCAGGGAGCTGGATCGAAGTGATACAGCTGGGACTCTAATCGGCTTAATCCCCTGGGCTACAATGTTGTCCCTTTGCCTTTTTCTTGTAAAACTGGGAACTTCCTACATTACAGTATACTTTCTTTATCTCATTTAATTAAAGAGTAAAACCCCAAATGTCAGCAGCTACCAGGAATTAGCTAACATCCGTCAGTCTTCGTGTCCACGTTTGGACACTTCTCTGTAGTACAGTGAGCGAGTACCTTTGGGTCGTCGGATGTCCCGGACCCGCCGGGGCTGGGTGGCCGCGCCTTGGCAGGCCCTCCCTGCGGCCCCCGAGACGGGGCGCTCTGGCGGTGGCCGCCTCCCGGCCTCCGCCCGCCCGGCACCCCTGCGCCCGGTCGCCGGCCACCGGGAGGCAGTACCTGATGGACAGCGAGCTTCTCCGGTCCTGCGCCTGGTCGCCCACGCACAGCTCTTGCGCGCCCTCGACCGCCCAGTTCTGGCCCTTGGCGCGGCCCACAATGTTGGGGTAGACAAACTGGGGCTCGCGGCTCCCGGCCATACCCGCCTTGATCACCCCCGAGCCATTGTCGATCACCACGGGAAGGTGCTCATAGTTCATGCCGCCGCCGCCCCGGCCGCCAGGCCGCTCAGTCTGCGGGCTCGGGGGTCCCTCGGCCTGGAATGCCGCGTCACAGAGGCCCTTCACGGCCTGAGGCAGCCTGGGCCCGAGCGCAGGCCCTGGGTCGGGAGCGCCCAGTGCAGCCACCCCAGCCCCCCAGTGCGGGAATATCGTGATCAGGAAAATCCCACTTTCCTTCCCAGGAAACGAATCTCACTCTTCACGAGTGCACCTCCCGCACACCCCGCAGAGCCGCGAAAACAGTTTCATTTCCCTCAGCCATTGAATTCTGCTTCACAGGTGTCCGAACGTCCCGGGGCCTGCGGGGAGCCTGGAGAACCGAGAAGGAATGAGATTAGACAGTGTGCGGGGAAGCGGGGAACATCTTTCCTTTCATTCGTAACCGAAATGTACGCAAGTCAAATGGTAGACCTCTCACGTTGCATTAAATTCCCCGCTGTCATCCGAAAACTCATTCTCATTCCCTAGCCTTGAGCTTTAATCCCAAGGACGAGTCTCCCTCCCCCTTTGCAGACAAGTGAGATCCTTTTAGGTCGCGGGAAGCTCAGGAGAAGAAAGGAAAAAAAAAAAAAAAACCACACTGCTTGTCCCAAAGCCTCTGATTTTGCACACCCTTTGGCGGGTTTTCAAACAGGCGCGCAAACTGGAACCTCTTCGGAAGCGCGAGGAGGAAATGCCCGAGTCATTCAGGCGTCCCTCGGTGAAGGGCCGAATCCGAGCGGCGGCGCTGGACGCTGCCCGCAGCTCGCCCTCGGGACTGGGAAGCGCCTCGCAGGGGAAGGACCCATAATGGAAACGCTTCGGTCTCGGGAAGAAAGAGTGCTCAAGGGAACGAAGTCAGCAGGTGCCTGGTGTCTACCGCAGCACACGGGGATTTCGTACGCAGATTCACACTTTGGAAACAGTTCGGTTGGACATGCGGTTGTTTTCACGTTTCGCGGTGTTTCTTTGCATCCTGTTAAAAATTACAACTGATTCTGCATGTTGAAACAGCCTACGTACATGTGCTGAAAGTATATCAAGGACTTCCTGAGCGCCATGGAACAGGGCAGTTTCCGTAGTGTAGTGGTTATCACGTTCGCCTAACACGCGAAAGGTCCCCGGTTCGAAACCGGGCGGAAACAATAACGTTTTCTTTCCCCTTACCTTTTTTCCCTTTCTTGATTGCTGAGAATTTGAACTTTCAAATGTTTTCACTGAAATCTTGCCATATGGAAGAAGGACCCGGATTTTAAAAACATGAGTTCGACTCAGAGTCTATCGCTGAAAGAAGCGCGCAGAAGGGCAGCTCAAACAGTATGAAAACTGTGAGCCAGTCTCCTACTACATATTCTTTGTAGTATGCCACTAGATTTTCCACAGCTTTGCCTTCTAGATCACCTTTTCCCCTAAACGCCAGGAGACCATGTTTTATTCTCTATCCTAGCTGTCCTGCTTGATAGCTAGGTCCACAAGTATTTCTGAATTAAAATTGTCGGAAAGGGTTCTGACGACAAAGGGAGCTCTCAAAATTATACTCGGAAAGATAAAAACAAGAAAGGGTGCAACTCCAGTTTTTCCTTATGAACACAACGGATGTGCATTTTATTTTAAAATGTTTCTTACCAGGAAGAGAGGAATTTATAGAAAGCAAGGGGGTGGGGGTTGTCTCAAAAGAGACAAATTGAATCCCATTTTTTTTTCAATAGTCTCTTTCGGCCACGACAAAAGACTTTTTAGCCAATCATCCCTTGGTTTTCTGATATTTACGATGTCCACAGATACGAGGGGAAAATCCACCTTTGCAAGACTTGTTTCTGATACTTCCGCATATTACCGGCCCAAGCGGTGCCTTTTTCCTCACTGTTACAAAATCTGAATAAGATGTAAATAATTGCATTAAAATTTCTCCAGTTCCAGACGCCGGCAAACCTTTTCCGGTGTAAAACCCACCTCCCTCTAATGTTGCGCATGCCCGTGTGCCCCTCTGCTTTGGGTTTCGCGCATCTCGGACTTCTGACACCAGGTAAGGGTATCCTGGAAACTCATCTCTCGTTGGCTGATGCAAACAAAACCCAGGGGATCCAAAGACCTTCCGGGTACGCAGAGGGGAAAGGGGTGATCCGTCTCCGATCAGACGAGCCCCCAGGACCGTCAGCCCGAGTACACAAAGCAGCTGTTCCCACTGGGGGGGCCCGAGGAAAGGGGGTGACGATGGGAGACGGCGAGCAACTACAAGCCCCAGCATGCAGTGCGCAGCTTGGCTGTGGGAGCGCGGCCCGGGGCGCGGCGCTCCCCGGCTTCCGTCCAGGAGCCCGGCCGAGCGCGAGGTGCCGACTGTTGGCCGGCCAGAACGCTCAGAACCAGAAAGACGAGCTGTGAGATAACCCTCAGCTGTCGGGTCCATGACGCCTGCTGTTTCGAGGCAGCCCTGGCATGCCGGGGAGTGGGGTCGCGGGGCCAGCCCGCTGGCCCCGGCTGGCGTCGGCCCTCTACCGCCCCAGAACCTCCTGCGCCGTTGCCGGACGACACACCCGGATGTGACGCCGACGTGGAGGAAGAAGGGAGAGGCGGAGCGTGGCGCGGTGACGTCCTCCCAAGATGGCGGAGAGAGAGTGAGGAAACTGTGTTCCCGCTTGGGTTGCTAGCGGTGAGTTCCGACTTCACCCCCAAGCCCACCATTCCCGCCCACCCCAAATGCAGGGCCATTGTGGGGGCGGCTCCTTGTGGTTCGAGCACGGGCCGGGGCGAAGGTGGGAAGGCTTGGGCGAAGCAGCCCCGGTGGTGGCCTTGGCCACAACCTCTGCCGTGTGAACTCGCGGGAGTGGGAGCTGGGCGGAGGACAGGGCAGGGCAGCCGAAGCCGCCAAGGCTGTCTCTTTGGTTGTCACTCTCCGATGACGCTCGATGAGGAGCGAGAGGGAGGGGAGGGGGTGTGGCCGCCTCGGAGCCAGTGACAGAGCCTTTGACAACCCGTGGCCCGGCGCATTCGCCCAGTGGCCGCCTCTCGTTTCGGAGATACCGCGGCCGGCGAAAGGGTTTGGGCGATTTGAGAGCAGATTTTTGAAACTCATGCCATGTTCGTCCCCGTGCTGTCCCAGGGAATCATTTCTAAGTGACTTAACATGCTTGTCTATTGAGGGTTCAGCTAGTGAAAAAGTGAAAATTTGCAGCCCTTGTCAGCTTCTGAAATTGTTTTCATTCATCGCCACTTATTGTGTGTCCAAAAGATTGCATTAGTGTCTCAGATGATATAGAGACGGAAAGGCGCTGATAGTGGCCTCATTCTTACCGTGTATGTTTGAGAAGGATTTTCAGGGGGGATAAATGGAGAACTAACTTTATTCTGGTTCATGGTATGGCCCCTGTCCTTTTTCACTCCTACCAATTGCTTGTGTGAATGTTTGAGTAAAACTTACGGTTGCTGATTCACTGTTTGTTTCTGTCTTTTAGATCAAGAGTAAAAGTCCATTCTGATACCAAAATGCAGTATTCGCACCACTGTGAGCACCTTTTAGAGAGACTGAACAAACAGCGGGAGGCAGGTTTCCTTTGTGACTGCACCATAGTGATTGGGGAATTCCAGTTTAAGGCTCATAGGAACGTGCTAGCGTCTTTTAGCGAGTATTTTGGTGCAATCTACAGAAGCACATCTGAAAACAATGTCTTTCTTGACCAGAGTCAGGTGAAGGCTGATGGATTTCAGAAACTCCTGGAGTTTATATACACAGGAACTTTAAATCTTGACAGGTAAAGTACACATTTTATTTCCAGTTATACTAGTCAGTAGTCTTTAGAGCTAAAGTGATTTGTATTTTTTTTTCAGTCTCTGAACTCAGTCTTCAGATATTTATGCACACTGAGCGTGTATGTGTGTGTGTCAAGATTTTATTTATTTGAAAGCCAGAGCTAGAGCGAGATCTTCATCCGCTGGTTCACTCCCCAAATGACCGAAATGGCTCCGTAGCCACAGGTCTCCCACCTGAGTGCAGGGTCCAAGGACTTGGGCCATCTTCCACTGCTTTCCCAGGTGCATTTAGCAGGGAGCTGGGTCGGAAGCAGAGCAGCCAGATCTCAAACTGGTGTCCATATGGGATGCTGGTGCCACAATCCTTGGTTCCACCCCTTATACCACAGTGCAGGCCCCTCCATGGTGTTTGTTTTAATGAAGATGTCAGTATCACTGATTTGAGATGAGCAGATATTTGATAAGTACAAAAATGGCGTTTTAAACAGTAAGATTCTGACACATCACTGAAACAAAGCCTGTGGTTTCAGTTATGTAAACTTGAGTATCAGACAAAATGAATTCTTAGTGAATGACAGTTGCCCTTTGCATTTTGGCCTTTATATTCTCCTGGTCTCCAGTCTCTCTCCCTTACGATCCTCTCCCTCTTAAACAGGGAGAAGTAAAGCATAGATGGAGAAAGAAGGAAGAGCCAACCTCTGTGCTCAGACCTTCAGTGCTCCCCTTGCCTGCCGGGTTACAGTGTTCAGGACTTAGTCCTAATCTAGTTCTGGAAGATACCTTCTTTGGAGCATAAATGGCAGCAACTCTTATCTGTTAACCTACTAGTGCCGATGCTTCTTTAAGATGCTTACTGCTGTCACTTTGTTAACAAAAAATAGATTCTGAGGATTCTGGTAGTACAGTCACTTTGCGCCTCCCCTACATAAATGAACTAGATAATTAGATTAGTAGCAATGCGTTTGCTGATTGTTGGAGATAAAAGTAACAAACACGGATCAAACTATCCCATCTGCTTTTCTCCATTTCTTAAAAAAAGTTTAACCAGGAGTAGCTTTGATAATCCTCTGACAAAAATCTGTAGGCTTTAGAATGTCAGCTAGTGCAAGATGCAGCCTCTCTGGGCCTCAGTTGCAAAAATGAGATGATACCTTGTATAGCTGTGCAGAGGCCAACCTCTAATAACTATTAGTCTCCTTCCTTTATGTTCTCTACTCTCATCTCCCCTTAAAATTTCACATTTCTTGAAGAAATATTAGAAACAAAAAAAAGAAAGAAAACTCTTGAAATTCTGCCACCCTCTGATAACTACAATTAATATTTGAAATACATTCATTCTTTCTCAGGTGATCTCTATAGGTAGACACATGCACATTTTAGCTTATCAGTGCTATCCTTTTGAAAAGGACACAGTTTTATTATAAACATTAAAGCAGCAGAACAGTAGGGCTGGTGTTGTGGTGCCATGGGTTAGGCTGACACCTTCAGTGCTAGTATTCCATATGGGTTCTGGTTTAAGACCCAGCTGTTACATTTCCAATCCAGCTCCCTGCTAATGTGCCTAGGAAAGTTTGGGCCTCTGCACCCATGTGGGAAAACTGGTGGCTGTTGCACTAATTTGGTGGGTGAATCAATTGATAGAAGATCTCTGTCTCCCCCTCTCAAATAAGTAAGTAAATCATTAAAAATAAATAAAGGAGCAGGTGCCTCTAAGAATTTAAGATACTGATAGAAAATAGCTACAAAACCAGTGAATTTTGGTTGACTTTAAATGTAATGGTTTCCCTTTTTTAGTTAATTCTGTTGGGACAGGAAGAGGGGAATCTTACATTGATTTGAAGACACTGCAGAGCACCATTCTTTGAGCCCTTGCAAAGATTCAGTGTGAAAAAGAGCCAGATCTCTGGTTAAGCCTTCTTTCCTGGCCCTGTCTTCCCTGGGGAGCTAATTGTTTGAGCCCAGCCAGAAATGTGAGAAGACTCATACCAAAATATACAACTTAGTGATTAAGAAATCAGGCAGAATAATAGATAATTAAGTGGGCTCACGGACCAGATTAGCTTGGTTAAATCTTGATTGCAATACTCTGATCTTGGACAAGTTACTTAACTTTTTGGACCTCTGATTTTTCATTTGTATATGAAATGGGGATTATTACAGATTCATGAGCATGTCCTGAGTGTTAACATGAACTAATTTTGTCAAGCATTTTAGCCACATACTTAGCAGTATGTAATTAAATGACCTTCAATGGCTGTTCAAATGACAAAAATAAGTTTGGAAGCATGATAACTTAATGCTGATAAATAAAAGCAGATCAGTTATTTAAGTAAACTATTGCTGATTGTTTCTCTTGACTGAAATTACAGGATGTCCATTAAATAGCTGGTATAAATTACTGTTTTAGTATTGAACAATTAGTGTGCAGCTTAATGCTGGTTTGTGCTGGTCTTAAAGGCTAGCGGACCTTAATACCCATTATGGAATACTAAGCACAATCACAATTTGAGACCAAAAAATCATTAAATATAGTAAGTGGTAAAGTAAAATTATGTTCTAGTAAGTCTCTCATTTTTACTGTACTCTTTAGATTGTGTAACAAAATCAATAAAAATACTTAATGTTTTTGAAGAGATCATTTTGTAAACAAGATAACATTTGGGGCATCTGTGCTATTTGCAAGGAGACATTATCTTGATTACAAAGATTCTTTGCTTTTTATTAAATATAGCCAAAGATCATAAAAAATAAGTAATTTTTTTAAAAGATTAATTTATTTATTTCAAAGTTAGAGTTACACAGAGAGACAAGAGGCAGAGAGAGAAGTCTTCCATTCACTGGTTCACTCCCCAGTTGGCCGCAAGGGCCAGAGGTGTGCTGATCCGAAGCCAGGAGCCAGGGGCTTCTTCCATATCTCCTAAGTGGGTGCAGGGTCTGCTTTCCCAGGCCATAGCAGAGAACTGGGTTGGAAGTGGAGCAGCCAAGACTTGAACTGGCACCCATATGGGATGCCAGCACTGCAGGCAGCGGCTTTACTTGCTACTCCATAGTGCTGGCCCCAATAATTTTTTTTAAATCCAGCGGATTCAGATTATATACCAAAAGTTACTTGTAATATGTTTAGGAACTTGGGATTTATTTCCCCAAAGGATAAAATATTCTCAAAACAAGTGGCTAGGTTTCAAAATTAGCCTATAAGTCTACTTAATCTAAGCTAACTAAAGAAAAAAAAAGTAATTGGTGTTAATACCAACTCAGCTAATTTTACAGCTAAGAAAATTGAAGTTTCTAGAAATGTTGATTTATCCTGATTAATTTAATTGAGTTGGTAATGTCCCAGCCAGTACTAGATTAATCAAATGAACTTTCGCTGTATTGTAAACTTCTGGAGGGCAGGGATTGTTATTTAATATCCCTTTTAGTATCACATATGGTAGATAATGTTGAACAAGATGACTTAAGCTTTCTGAATCATTCTGCTGTGACACACTCTCTAGCTAACTTGGGTTGAGTATCACCAAAAAGGTGGGAGAATTGCTCAAAGTTGCTTCACACATTCTAAAATCTGTTCCTCCAATTATGCTCTGTGGACCATCAGCATCAGCAGCACCAGGGAGTACAGTGGAAATGTACAATCTCAGGCCCCATCATCGACCTGCTGAATCTAAATCTTAACAGGATGCCAGTTGATTCTTATGCACAATAAAGTTTGAAGAGCAGGGAGAGTAGTAGGAAGCAAATTTTATTAGGCTTCCTGTTGCCAACCCAGAAAAGTTGGTTGCTCTCTGAAGAGGCCTCATAATGAATGGGAGGAGGTGATGAGGAACCAACATCTATTTCTTGGTTTTAGGCTTTTCTAAAAAACAGCCAGAAAAATGTAACATTTTGGTTCTCTCTAGTGTTGCACTGGCAGGTATAAATAGCCATTATTTTTCAGCTTTTTAAGTTCTGTAACGTTGGAGACTTGCTTAAACAGTATTTTGAATGAATGAATTTTGTAAATTGGTTGTTCTTAGTTATGCCCTTTCCAGTGATCTGCTCCATTAAGTCTTAAAGGCACTGAGCTGTGTGTGCAGCTCTATTTCAAAAAGTTTTACTCTGATGAGAATATTGTCATTTAGCCGCATTGTTTCCTTACAGTTGGAATGTTAAAGAGATTCATCAGGCTGCTGACTATCTCAAAGTGGAAGAGGTGGTCACTAAATGTAAAATAAAGATGGAAGATTTTGCTTTTATTGCTAATCCCTCTTCTACAGAGATATCTAGTATTACTGGGAACATTGAATTGAACCAACAGACTTGTCTTCTTACTCTACGAGATTATAGCAATCGAGAGAAATCAGAAGTCTCTACAGATTTAGTTCAGGCAAATCCTAAACAAGGGGCATTAGCAAAGAAGTCATCTCAAACTAAAAAGAAGAAGAAGACTTTCAACTCTCAGAAAACAGGGCCGAATAAAACCGTGCAATATCCCAGTGACATTTTAGAGAATGCATCTGTTGAATTATTCCTAGATGCAAATAAATTGTCTACATCTGTAGTAGAACAAGTTGCACAAAGAAATGATAATTCAGAACTTGAGTTGACATCAGTTGTGGAAAATACCTTTCCAGCACAAGATACTGTGCAGACTGTTACAGTGAAACGGAAACGTGGAAAGTCACAGCCAAACTGTGCCCTGAGAGAACATTCTCTGTCTAATATAGCCAGTGTCAAGAGTCCTTATGAGCTGGAGAACTCTAGGGAGGAGCTGGATGAGAGGTACTCCAAGGCCAAGCCAATGTGTAATACCTGTGGGAAGGTGTTTTCAGAAGCCAGCAGCTTGAGAAGGCACATGAGAATACATAAAGGAGTCAAACCTTACGTGTGCCACTTGTGTGGAAAGGCATTTACGCAGTGTAACCAGCTGAAAACACATGTAAGAACGCATACAGGTAAGACTGTTTTGTGGGGAGAGAAAATTGTTTCCTACTGTAATTATAATATTTTCTTATAGTACAATTATTGACTATAGAAATTTGGCATATTCTATTCATAAAAGTATTTTAGCAATGTTAGACTGTTAAAAATATATTTGTAGGTATAAATAAGTATTTTAATGGTGGTTTTATTGAAACTGGTATTTTAAGTCCTAACACATCAACTGCTACTACCACTTTCACTCAAAATAAGCATAAACTTAGTTCTAGTTTACTAAGATTTGACAGACAAAAAACTATTAAGACAGATAAAGAGAAAATACAATTAACAATTCAGGGCAGTTTTTAGATAGTGCTAACATCTCCTTGCATGCTTCCTAACTTCAACATTTACTTTATTTTGCATGTCCTCTTTGTGGTGGTGAAGGATGAGCACCATTGGTACTCTTAGATATGTACCATTTAGGATGTAATACGTATTTTCTAATTGATCACCTTTCAGTATTATGAATCGAGAAACTAATTTAATTCTACCAGTATTTTCAGTAGTCTGAAAAAAAAGATCCTATTTGCTTTTACTTTTAGCAATTAACATTTTCTGACTACCAAAGCTAGTATTGTTGATGAAACTTTTGCAAGTTTATATAGCTTATGCACCTAAAACAGAATATTTCCTTCTAAATGTAAGTTTTATTTACTTGTTCCTTTAGGTGAGAAGCCATACAAATGTGAACTGTGTGATAAAGGATTTGCTCAGAAATGCCAGTTAGTCTTCCATAGTCGCATGCATCATGGTGAGGAAAAACCCTATAAATGTGATGTATGCAATTTACAATTTGCAACTTCTAGCAATCTCAAGATTCATGCAAGGTAAAAAATGAACTGTTTTCATCTTTTATTCTTGTTAATAATCACCATTGTTCTATGAATAGACTACTGTATTCAAATTCAGGACTGTAGAGTTCTAATTGTGATTCTACTACACAGTATTCTTAGCACATTCACAACAAGAAGTCATGGTTGGAAAGGAATATAAGGAGGAAGCTACTAGGAATACAGTGATAGTGTGGTCCTCTGGTAATTAGTTTGTAGGCCATTATAAAGCTTTTCATCTTGAGACTGAGAATTATGTGATACAGTCCTGCTCGCATTTTCAGAGTATCGCTCTGGCTGCTATATTAGGAATAGATCACAGGATTGCAGGAATGGAAGCAAGGAGACCAGTTAGGAATCTATTGATAATACCCAGGTGAGAGTGATGACAGTTCAGGAAAGAGTGGTAGCAGTGGAGGATGGATATAAGTGGCAGGCTCGGCCGGCGCCGCAGCTCACTTGACTAAACCCCAGGTTCTAGTCCCGGTTGGGGTGCCGGATTCTGTCCTGGTTGCTCCTCTTCTATTCCAGCTCTCTGCTGTGGCCCGGGAAGGCAGTGGAGGACGGCCCAAGTACTTGGGCCCTGCACCCGCATGGGAGACCAGGAAGAAGCACCTGGCTCCTGGCTTCAGATCAGCGCAGCGCGCCGGCCGTAGCGGCCATTTGGGGGGTGAACCAGTGGAAAAAGGAAGATCTTTCTCTCTCTCTCTCACTGTCTAACTCTGCCCGTCAAAAAATAAATAAATAAATAAATAAATAAATAAATAAATAAGTAGCAGGCTCTGAATATATTTTAAAGGTAGAACTAACACAAGGCCAGTGCCGCAGCTCAATAGGTTAATCCTCCACCTAGCGGCGCTGGCACACCGGGTTCTAGTCCCGGTTGGGGCGCCAGATTCTGTCCCGGTTGCCCCTCTTCCAGGCCAGCTCTCTGCTGTGGCCCAGGAGTGCAGTGGAGGATGGCCCAAGTCCTTGGGCCCTGCACCCACATGGAAGACCAGGAGAAGCACCTGGCTCCTGCCATCGGATCAGCATGGTGCACCAGCCGCAGCGCGGCGGCCATTGGAGGGCGAACCAACGGCAAAAAAGAAGACCTTTCTCTCTGTCTCTCTCTCTCTCACTGTCCACTCTGCCTGTCAAAAAAAAAAAAAAAAACACCTAACACAATAAAAAAATACCAACAGCTCGGATATGAGGTCTGAAAGAAGAGTCAAAGATGATACTGAGGTTTGGGCCTGAGTACCTGAAAAGATAAAGTTGACATTAAGTAAGATGGAGAAGGTTATAAAAGAAGTTTGAGAGAGAGTACGTGCTAAATTTGAGATGAATATTAAACTTCTGAGATGTGTGCAATAAGAGATTGGTTATCTGAGTCTGGAGTTGAGGGGTTTGGTTTGAAGATATAAATTTAGCAGTCACCAGCACATGGTAGTATTTAAAGCTATAACACAGGCTGGCATGGTGGCATACTAGGCTGAGTCTTCACCTGTGGTTCCAGCATCCCATATGGGCAGCATTTCGTTTCCTGGCTGCTCCACTTCCGATCCAGCTTCCTGCTTTGGCCTGGGAAAGCAGTGGAATATGGCCCAAGTGCTTGGGCCCCTGCGCTGGCATGGGACACCCAGAAGCTCCTGGCTTTGGATCGGCACAGCTCCAGCCATTGCGGCCATTTGGGGAGTGAACCAGCAGATGGAAGACCTTTAAATAATAATAATAATAATAATAATAATAAAGCTGTAACACTAAATAAGTCTCCAAGAAAATGAATAGAAATAGATAAAAAGACTGAGTCCTGAAGCCTTATAATCTTAAGATTTTTTGGGAGATGAGCAACAACCAGCAGAGGTGACTAGCAAAGGGCAGCCAAAATAGGAGGAAATGTAGTTAAGTGGGCTGCCCTGGAATCCAAGTAAAGGAAATTGTTCCAGATGGGAGTGATTAGATCATTTGTGTAAAATTCTGATGGTGAAAGGAGGTGAAGGCTCGAATTGGTTTGGATTTAACAAAATGGGAGGTGAGTACTCTTTTGACAAAAGCATTTTTAGCAGAGACAAGTAGAGAAGCAATGGAAGTGGAACATTGAGAACGCAAATTTTTGGTAAAGTAGAGAAATGGAAGAGCAAGTGCTGTCAGGGATATTCTTTGTTATTTTCTTAAAAGATAGGAGCTATCAATGTTTGTAGGCTATGATTCAGTGGAGTGGGGAAAGATGATGTCGAGTGGGGAAAATTGTAGGAGTAATATTGAGTAATATCTGAAGTACTATACAAATCAAACTATTGGATTTAGATGAATTTTCATCCTCTTGATCAAGTTAACCTGAGGGAAGGCAAACCATATAGGTGCAGATCCTTATAAGCAGAGTTGTGATGGTAGAAATTTTCTTTTGATGAAATTTTTCTCAGTGAAATAGGAGACAAGGATATTAGCAGGAAGTAATGATGGGTGAAGGTGTGCCAGTGGTTCGTGGAGACCTGACAAGTGAGAGTGAACTAATGAACTAATGAAAATAATTGCCTGAATATTAGTGGTCCATGACAAACACATAAAGTTTATGACAGATTTTTTTTTTTATTATTTGATAAGTACAGTTACAGACAGTGAGAGAGACAGAGAAGAAAGGTCTTCCTTCCATTGGTTCACTCCCCAAATGGCCGCCGCGGCTGGCGCTGTGCCGATCCGAAGCCAGGAGCCAGGTGCTGGTCTTCCATGCAGGTGCAGGGGCCCAAGCATTTGGGCCATCCTCCACTGCCCTTCCGGGCCACAGCAGAGAGCTAGACTGGAAGAGGGGCAGCCGGGACTAGAACCCGGTGCCCATATGGGATGCTGACGCCGCAGGCAGAGGATTAACCAAGTGAGCCATGGTGCCGACCCTGAGATTTTTTTTTTTAATACATCTTAGAACCAGAACTGATATTTTGGTATTTGTTATTTTTGGCAGTGTACATTGAGAAAACTGTTAATTTTACAGTGTTGGCCTTTCAAGATGAGATGAAATAAAAATCTTTGTGAAGAATGTTTGCTATATAAATTAACCTCCAAATTTTTTTACTCACCAGAGTATAACTTTATTTATTAATAGGAAGCATAGTGGAGAGAAGCCCTATGTCTGTGATAGGTGTGGACAGAGATTTGCTCAAGCCAGCACACTGACCTATCACGTCCGTAGGCATACTGGTGAAAAGCCTTACGTGTGTGACACCTGTGGGAAGGCATTTGCTGTCTCCAGTTCTCTTATCACTCATTCTCGAAAACACACAGGTAAGAGTTTGACAAAAAGAAACTGCTAAACATAAGGAATAAAGGAAAAAGGGGAATTGGGCCTTTACCGAGATTACAGACTTTATATTTAGCTATCTGTGTTTGCACTTCTCAAAGCCATATCTATGATTTTCACATATTTATAAATTAGATATAAAAGCTAACATTTTCTAGAAAAATACAGGGTGGGTAAAATTTTTGACCTTGTAATTGATACAGATTAAAATGAGTAGAAAATTTTGATTATGTGTGAACTTGAATTGAGATATGTTTTATGACTTTAGAAGACCTCAGCGTCTTCAAGGTTCATTTCCTTTGGATGAAATTGTGGAATGATGTTAGGGATAGGGAGTGGGTTTGGATAGAACATTTATTTTACAAGTTCTTAGGAGGTTTCCTTCACAGACTTTCTGAGATCATATGCAAAGTATTAGTTTTGAAGCAAATTTGTATTGGTCAGAGATTTTCATTTTTTGTAGGTTACATTTTTTAATAGAATCATCTCTAAATACTCATTCTCCTTTGATAATATAATAGATAATAAATGAAAAAGAGTAATGATTTACATGTCTTAATCATATAAAAACTTAACTCATTACTCAGTTCACCTCTACTAGAAATTATATTTGAAGTAATAAAATTTTAATATGTGAAAAGTATCAGGTTATATGAACAGTATAAGATAACTATTAATATTCATTTGAAATTGGGTCACTAAAATCTATAAAATATAATAGAAGTTTTATAAATCATATTTTAGAACAGCTTACTTTAGATTATTTGTAATTGCTAAATATTTTATTGGTATAGTACACCACTTCGCTTTTATTTTCCATCTAGGTGAAAAACCATACATATGTGGTATTTGTGGGAAAAGTTTTATTTCCTCAGGAGAGCTCAACAAACACTTTCGATCCCATACAGGTCTGTGTTTAGGGAGAACGTATTATTTTTTGTTCTCTCTTAATTTCTTTTTATGTAAACATTGACTTTTAAACCATTATGGACTTCATGGTGTCTAGTCATACTCTACCTATAACAATATTTAATGTATAAATATCAACTTTTTATTTACGTATTTTAGGTTTTTGTTTTTTTTTTTTTTTTTTTTTTTAGTTATTGGGAATGTTAAATTTGGTCAAGAATCATACAGTTTTCCCAGGAAATGTGCCAGATAATTAATAGTTTTTAAATGCTTCGAACTAAATTGCAAAGATATTCCAACAAATGAAAAGGGATAGATAATACTAAGATCAGATTTTCTTATTAAACAATGTTTAGTATACAAGTTTTAGGAATAAATTTTAAGACATGTTCTAAGAAGTAGTTTGTAAGTAATATGAAGAAAATACTAATTATAAACAAATTTTAAAGGAAAATGTTACTTAAAGTATACTGCTCTGTTTCAAAATCCCTCCTCACAATTCTTACCTAGATTAATGAATACCTAGTAGAGATTTAATAAGTTTGTTGGAAACTTCTATTTGTATTTTCGTGCTTCTTAAATGAACAGTTCCTTATTTTAAAACAGTTATATGATTGTAGCATACTGCCAATATTTTTTAAAGAATCTTCTAATTTCAAGGTACCTGAAAGCGGAAACTATAATTAGGCGTTTTGCTTCTTCCTCTATATATTTGCCAGAATATGGCATAAATATTTCCATCAGATATTTATAGTGAATGCCATCCAGTGCAATTCACTAAGTATCTGATAGAAATAAAAGAATAAATTTGTTATAGTTGTTGTTGTTGGAAACAATTTCTTTTAATGAAGAAACTGATTTTTCCTGAAATAGGGCTTCATTTTCTGTAAGAGTGCCTATGTGTATAGGATTTTTCATGTCATTTTATTGTAACCAAATGATTAAAATAATCATTTAAAACCAAATATAAAAAGTACAATAGTTTTTACCTTATATTCTGGAACATTATATTTTTGTCTTAACTAGCAGCTTTTAAAATATTAAGGTTTTAAACTTTTTTTCCCCCAGGAGAAAGACCGTTTATCTGCGAATTATGTGGAAATTCTTATACAGATATCAAAAATTTAAAGAAGCACAAAACAAAAGTCCATTCTGGTAAATGTGATTTTTAAAATTTGTTGCTGTTATATTGGTGCTATTCATTAAAATGTTGAGATGTACATTTTAACAATTTTAGATATATATACATGAGTAAAGCAGAAATGTTCTCTGGATTTCTTTTTATATTGAGCTTCTAATAAAAAAAATTTCCTCCTTTAAAAACTTAAGAATAGTTTCAAGAATGAAGGAACATGTGAGCAAGCTGGATATCACTGCTTCCATTCTAGAGTCTGAATAACTCAGGATAAAAGGGTATCACAAACACTAGTCCTGAAATGTTTGAGAGAAAGTAGGAAAATAGGCAACCCAAAATTTTATAATACATAAAAATGAAAAGCCAGGCTATAAAATTTTAAGTCTGTTGCTTAAAATGAATCCTTGAAAAAGTTTCCCAGTGCTTACCATTTTATTTGTCATGATGATAAATAACAGTAGGCTTTTTCAGTGTATAAAGATGATATGATTGGCCAGCGCCACGGCTCACTTGGCTAATCCTCTACCTGCGGCGCCAGCACTCCGGGTTCTAATCCCGGTTGGGGCGCCGGGTTCTATCCCGGTTGCTCCTCTTCCAGTCCAGCTCTCTGCTGTGGCCCAGGAAGGCAGTGAAGGATGGCCCAAGTGCTTGGGCCCTGCACCTGCATGGGAGACCAGGAGGAAGTACCTGGCTCCTGGCTTCGGACTGGCACAGCGCGCCGGCCGGAGCAGCCATCTGGGAAGTGAACCAACAGAAGGAAGACCTTTCTCTCTGTCTCTCTCTTTCACTAACTCTGCCTGTGGGGGGGAAAAATATGATATGATATTACATCTCTTAGAGCAAACATGACATCAAAAGGATTAGGTTGGAAGCATCTGAAAACTGCAGTGAATTGTTCATTCAAGACCACTTATTAAATACTTATAAAGTACACAAATATGCAGAGAGCATGAAATTAAACAAGGCATAGTTTTGGTCCTCAAAGAGCTTACTACCAGGTATAGAAACCAAACATCTAAATTAATAACTATAAGAGATAATCTAGGACATAATAAACACAAAAATGCTGAGGAAGATAGTAAGCTTTTCTGAGGTGAGCACTGGAAAGGACTTAATTTTGGGGAACTTAAAGAGTGGAGAAGAGTTCAAAGGATGGAGATAGGGAAAGGAGGGTTCCTTCTAGGTGGAGAACATTGTGAAGAGTCACTGGGACAAGAAAGCACGGGCTGTATTCTTGACTGGTTGAACTGAAGAGTAGAAGAATATGGAGAATTATAATTTTATGGAAGTAAATTCTGTTTTGTCTGTTTAATGAGGATAGTGAAACTGAATCCATGGCAGCACATAGCAGCATGTTAAGCTACTCGAAAATCTGAAGACAGTACATCTTTTCAGTTTAAATTGCCACCAGTGGGACTGACTTAATTGAAGAGAGTTTGAAAAACTGCTTTTGTATACTAGAAACCCAGTATTTGGTTATTTAAGAAATGTATGCATGTGTTCTAAGTAATGTATTAAAAGTTAATATAACTTAAAAAGTTATAAAATGTTCAGCTACTCAGAACAGTATGAACTCATTAAAACCTCCAGTGATGATATAGAGTATTTATTATGGCATATCAGTGTTCCATACTTTGAAGGTGTTAGAGAAGTATAACTTCTCTAACAGTAATTTACCTTCAAGGAATTTATAGTCTAGTTGAGGATTTTAGGATTCAGAGTATCCTTGAGTAGAATATTAAATAGCAGTAAGAGAGATGCCAGAAGTTTATGAAACTTAACAAATGTGTGATAAAGTAAATAAGAAACAGCTCACCCTGGTCCAGAATTATTAACTGTATGTTTATAATAGAGGTGGTGCTTGAACTTAGCCTTGAGAGCCAGAATGAGTTTTAGATGATGAGGGATGAGCAAAAGAGAAACAGCTTAAGTAAAGGTATATAGGTTCAAATGTAAATCCTAGGAATGCTAAGTAGATTATCTCAGGAGTTTTGTATGTAAAGATAGCATACTTTTTTTCCCCTTTCCATTTCAGGTGCAGATAAAACTCTAGATTCCAATGTAGAGGATCATACTTTGAGTGAACAAGATTCCATACAAAAAAGTCCCTTGTCAGAAACTCTGGACGTAAAACCTTCTGATATGACTTTACCCTTGTCTCTTCCACTTGGCACTGAAGATCACCACATGCTTCTACCTGTCACAGATAACCAGTCTCCTACAGCAGATACATTGTTGAGGTCAACTGTGAATGGGTATTCAGAACCACAATTGATTTTTTTACAGCAGTTATACTGACTTTGTGAGGAATATGGAATTGCTAAGATGTCTTTGGTAAATCAAACATCTCTGGTAAGGTGCATATATTCATATTAGATTTCCATTCATTCAAGTTGTCACCATTATTTTTCATTCACTGGAGTAAAAGCAAACCTGATTCTGCATCATAACTGCAATGCTTATTTTTGATTTTTGGCTTTTATGTCTTATACATTCAGCTTTTTACAGAATGAATTATACTAGAGTAGTACTATTTTGGGTGGATAAGTTTTAATTTTAATTGCCTTAATTCCTTTTTTTATGTTGCATTTTAGAATTACCCTTCATTTACTGAAGGAGAATTTGTTGGTTTACATGATTTAGTTTGACTTGTGGGTTTTTTTATTTCCTTACCCCAAAAAATGTAGGCAAAATCCATAAGAGTAGAAGCCCAAGAGTGTTGCTGTTTGTGAACTCCATTGACCAATATATAAACTAAAAAAGTTCGTATTTCTGCCTATGAAATTTAGGTACTAAATAAGAATTGTGCTATTTCTCTATTAATATATTCCTTTAGAGGTAATTTTTCTAATGAAACAAATGTTTCTTAAAAGCTAGAAAACTGTAAATATATTTTCCTTCATTTAAAATTAGTATTCTGAAGAAAACCAACGGTCAGTACTTTTGGTTTGAGTTATTTGAGACTGTGCTTTCAAAATTTTAAATAGATACTTGATGTTTTTGTCAAAAGTTTCAGAATTTGATTGAACTTATGTTTTAATAGCTTCTAGATTACTGGAAGTGAAAATATGGTGAGTTTTGAAAATATTTTGATAAGCTCTTTTATGCCTATTATGCACTTTTTAAAATAAATATTCTAAAAAGTTTCTAGACATAAACTTTATGCATACTAGAAATCACCTGGCTTCTAAATTTGATACATTATATTCCATAAACAGTTAAGAAATTAACTTCAGTTATAAGTAAACATTTTGGGTTATCAGAAAGTCAGTTTATAAAACTTTTTTTCTATAAACTTTGGGCTTTTAAATTTTGTAAGTTAAACCACAACTTTCTGTTGTTGGTTGTCATAGTTTCACTGTGGTCCTTTTCCTTTGAAGTGAATGTAGAAATATTCGCTACCACCCTTCCCCATCCTATTTTCCACATACTAATTTATTTCACAGCCTGATCTTTGGACATTAAATTTTCAGTTCCACAAAGTCAGTCATACAGTGTTGATCAAACACCACGATGACATTATTTCTTATTTCTGCCATGCATTAGTTGTGGCTTATTTGTTTCCTGGTTTTAAACTACACTTGTAATAAAGTTAATGTGTTTTTTACTGGTATTGGTTTCAATTGTAATTTTCTTGATTTGGGGTCCAAGTCATAGAAGCTAATTAGAGAGTATAATGAAAACACTTATTTCTTATGGAGCTCTTCACTATTGCACAACACACAAAGCATTTTCAGTTTAAATTGCCACCAGTGGGACTGACTTAATTGAAGAGAGTTTGAAATACTGCTTTTGTATACTAGAAACCCAATATTTGGTTATTTAAGAAATCTATGCATGTGTTCTAAGTAATGTATTAAAAGTTAATGTAACTTAAAAAGTTATAAAATGTTCAGCTAATCTACTCTGGCTTAAATTTGATAGGAATTCATTGGAATGTGACAATTAAAGAAAATTTAAAAATTAAAATTAGAAGGCATGGCCTGTTTAAGAAGCTACTAAAATGAAAAAGTTGTGTTTAATTTGTATCTTCATTAATCCAAGCAGCTAATGAACAAAAGAAAGATGTCATAATTCTATAAGGGCAATAGTTGGCAAGGTTCCTCTAATAAAATAATTTGCATTTTGTCTTTGCATAGATTAACCTTCAAATTTGTTATTTTTAGTATTATTTGATCGTACTAGAGTGGCTAAGGTTGATTGATAGTGCTTTTTATCATCACATTGGCTTGGCTAAGTAACTATTTTAAATTGACATGGCTTGAGTTGATCAGTATCATCTGCTCTTCCAGAATGACAATGTAAAGGGAGCTTGCAAACTAAGTATCCCTTATCATCTCATACTGCTATGTGCTGTTATCATAATATGCATTTACTTAGGTTGTATGTATCCAGTGTCACTCTGACAATCATAATCATTTTGGTCAAGTCCATCTTTAGATATATTTGTTATAATCAATGTTTTGGGAAAGGTCTATTCTTAAATTATTTAAGTATTATAAAGCTTTTTGAACATCTTTAAAATGCTGGATTTCTTTCTGAAAAACAAAATATTTTCTAAATGAATATAATTTTGTATTTGTATTAGATTATTCCTAATGTATTGCTAGATTTTAGACTTTTTTTAAAGGAAATTCTAGGTTATATATAAATTATTTTTGATATTTTTTAATGGTACTTGTTTTATGCTTAATTTCACAGGATGATTTTGATAGACAAATTTTGGAAAATTTTTTTCGCCAAATTTCTGTCAGTCCATTGCCACAGTTGTTTATCATTTCTGTATGTTTTAGCCTACAGAAAATATGCAAATGAGTATGTAAAATAGACAACGTACTAATTTCTAAAAATCTCCTGAACTAATAGTTACAACACTTGATGCATACCAGAAACATGGTTGGGAAATAACAATCTTCAGGCCACTCTACCTGAGACCTGCTGCAGCAGTCTACTGGGCACATACGGTAACACTTCTTGGCGTTCCGCCTTTTGGAAAGCAGATAAAATGAATGAAATTCTTCAATGTACCTTCCCATTTTTTAATGGAGATTTGAGTCCCTTGAACTTGGCTAGAAATATCACCCAAAAAGAAACTGTATTTAAATGTGTACTCTTTTTTTTTTTTTTGACAGGCAGAGTGGACAGTGAGAGAGAGAGACAGAGAGAAAGGTCTTCCTTTTGCCGTTGGTTCACCCTCCAATGGCCGCCACGGCCGGCGCACCGCGGCCGGCGCACCGCACTGATCCGATGGCAGGAGCCAGGTGCTTTTCCTGGTCTCCCATGGGGTGCAGGGCCCAAGCACTTGGGCCATCCTCCACTGCACTCCCTGGCCACAGCAGAGAGCTGGCCTGGAAGAGGGGCAACCAGGACAGGATCCGGCGCCCTGACCGGGACTAGAACCCGGTGTGCCAGCGCCGCAAGGCGGAGGATTAGCCTAGTGAGCCGCGGCACCGGCCTAAATGTGTACTCTTTAAATTCTACATTTTCACTCATTATTTATCAACCACATTGAGATCTAGAAGTACTTGGGTCCCTACCACCCATATGAGAGACCCAGTCTGAATTTCAGGCTCCTGGCTTTGGCCTGGCCCAGCCCTGACTGTTGCAGGCATTTGGAAGATCTCTGTCCCTTTGTGTCACTTTGCCTTTCAAAAAACAAAACAAATTTTCAAAAAAGATAACTGTAATTACCTTTACTTAAATGCTATTTCACTACTTGGTTGTATTTTCCATTGTAAAAGGAATTAAATGGGTTCCTAGGCTTATTTCTTCAAAGTTAAAATTTCAGGCTATCATATTTCTTGTAGAAAATTACAGGTTTTTTCACAATGCAGTTTAATAAAGTCATACCTTTATACATTTGTCAAAAGTAACTTTTCTAATTTATGAAAGAAAATACATGTAATGGGCCATATTCCAAAAGCAATTAGAGAAATGTAGAAAACTATTTCAGAGCTCTTTTTTCATAGATGTTGACCTACTGGAACAAGAGCAAAACCTGCATTAGACGAATGGCCATAAGCTTCTCCGTAAGTTGGTGTCCAATAATAGTGTTTTTTAAGGCCATTGGAGAGTTCTGCAAGATACACACGTCCATCTACCACAAACGGCTCCACATCTGTATTGTCTGGTTTTAGATAGCTCATTTTAATTAAATCTGAATATGCCTAAGGTTTTTAAGAAAAGAAAATCTGTGATTAATATGTATTAAATTGTAAACATTTACATAATGCAAATTAAGTTTGATTTTCAAATTAGCTATGTTAATTTGTAGACAATATTCTAGGGCTGGTGTTGTAGCAGAGTAGGTAAAGCCCCCGCCTGTGATGCTAGCATCCCACAAGGGCTCAGGGTCAAGGCCCAGCTGCTCCACTTTGGAAGAAATTCCAGGACCTTGGCCTGTCCCAGCCCCAGCCATTGCGGCCATCCGGGGAGTGAACTAGGGGATAGAAGATCTCCCTCTGTCTCTCCCTCTATGTAACTGCCTTCCAAATAAATAAAAATAAGTCTTTAAAAATATTTTGAATAACATGAATTTTAATATTTTGCAGGTATTAGATTTTTATTCATTTAATTAACACAATGAAACTCGGTTATAAAACCTACTTCTAAGTTTTAATGGATGAAACATTTTTGTCATTTTGTAACTCCTACAGTTAATTATACTGTCAGCTCTGTGTAACAAAGCTCCCTTCGTCAAAATTTTCAGATCCTACAGGTATTCTTTGCTTTTTTTGTTTGTTTTTGTTTGTTTTTTTGACAGGCAGAGTGGACAGTGAGAGAGACAGAGAGAAAGGTCTTCCTTTTGCCGTTGGTTCACTCTCCAACGGCCACCGCAGCCAGTGCACTGCGGCTGGCGCACCGCGCTGATCCGATGGCAGGAGCCAGGTACTTCTCCTGGTCTCCCATGGGGTGCAGGGCCCAAGCACCTGGGCCATCCTCCACTGCACTCCCTGGCCACAGCAGAGAGCTGGCCTGGAAGAGGGGCAACCGGGACAGAATCTGGCGCCCCAACTGGGACTAGAACCCGGTGTGCCGGCACCGCAAGGCGGAGGATTAGCCTAGTGAGCTGCGGGGCCGGCCCCTACAGGTATTCTTTAAATGGCAAGAGAGATTGTTTTATTTGCTTTCAAAAACCTGTTAGTTAGGGACCTATCCCTTAGAAAGTAAAAGAAATTCTGGATTTGGGTATACAACTGTAATGGAGTTCATGAACACACCACCCCCACCCTTCTGAAGCCAATTGACATTTAAAGATGTATTTATCTATTTGAAAGTTAGAGCTACATGGAGAGAGAGACCAAGCTTCCATCTGCTGGTTCATTCCCGAGACGGCCACAATGGCTGGGGTTGGGCCACGGCCACACCAAAGCTGAGAGCCAGGAGCTTTTTCCAGGTCTCCCACATGGATGCAGGGGACCAGGCACTTGGGCCATCTTCTGCTGCTTTCCCAGTCACATTAGCTGGAGCTGGATTAGAAATAGAGCAGCTGGGACTTGAACCAGTATCCACGTGGGATTCCTGTGTTGCAGGCTGCAGCTTAACCCACTGTGCTGGCCCTACTAATTGACATTCGGGTTAATAATAACTCTAATTTCAGGGGTGGGGAATCTTTTTTTCTTCCAAGGGCCCCTAAATATAAATCAGGGACCACACAAAATTAGCAACTTAAAAATTAACCTGGCCAAATGATTTAATGAGCCTTATTTGGCCCACAGACAAGATGTCCCCCACCTCTGTAAGAATGCTGGCCTATTGTTCTCCTTATAGAATATTCTTTGTACATCTCTTAGGGATCCTTGATATCTACGTAAGGGTGTAATACACATGTGTTGAACTGGTTTGTCAGTAGAACTGCCATTATGGAGAGGGGCTCAGAAATTTAGACTAAAACATTTAAAAATTTGCTTGTGTTTAGTTTGTTCCAGACTCAACTTACATAGCTTCTAGTGTAGAACTAAAAGGATATAGATGTTATTCTAAAACTAGAGGTTTTTTTGAGATCCTGGTATTTATTTATGTGCATTTGTTTGAAAGGCAGACATATGCCTTCCATCCACTGGTTCAACCGCCTATATGCCCACAACAGCCAGAGCTGAGCCAGGCAGAAGCCAGGACCCCAGAATTCATTCCAGGTTTCCCACAAGGCACAGGGACTCAGGAACTTGAACCGTCATCTGCTGCCTCCCCAGGTGTGCATTATTGGGTAGCTGGATTGAAGCAGAGGAGCTGGGACTCAATCCACACTCTAACATGGATGCAGGTATCCCAGGTGTTAACTTTTGTGCCAAACACCCTATTAAGTGTATACATTTTATTAATTTTAATAGTGGGATTTTATTTGGTCCTTTTGCAAATTTTGAGAATTTTACAAGTTTTTGTTATTTTGATTACATATAAATCCATAGTAATACTTTAAGACTCCTATTGTGTGAAGTAAAAATTTCACTGAGATAGTTCTTCAATACTCATTTCAAAACAAAAGCATAGGGGGCGGCGCCGTGGCTCACTTGGTTAATCCCCTGCCTGTGGTGCTGGCATCCCATATGGGTGCCGGATTCTGTCCCGGTTGCTCCTCTTCCGGTCCAGCTCTCTGCTCTGGCCCTGGAGGGCAGTGGAGGATGGCCCAAGTGCTTGGGCCCCTGCACCCACCTGGCAGACCAGGAGGAAGCACCTGGCTCCTGGCTTCGGATCGGTGCAGCGCCGGCCGTGGTAGCCATTTGGAGAGTAAACCAACGGAAGGAAGACCTTTCTCTGTCTCCCTCACTGTCTATAACTCTACCTGTCAAATAAAATTTTTAAAAAAGCATAGTAACAATTTTCTTCTTACTTGAGAGGGAGGCAAAGAAAGAACGCCAATCCAAAAGTTTTCTCCCCAAGTGCCTGCCTCAGCCAGAGGTGGGTGAGGCCAAAATCAGGATTGAGGAACTCAATCAAGGTCTCCCACATGGATGGCAGGAACCCAACCGCCTGAACCACTACTGCTGCCTTCCAGGCTCTGCATCAGAGCTCCACCAATGGGAGTTCATTCCAGGCATTCTGAAGTAGAATAGGTGTGTCTTAACTGTATCTTAACCTCTAGGCCAAGCACCAACCTAACAATTTTCGTGTGGAAAAAAAATGAAGAAAAAATAAAAGTCAAAATTTGTATTTCTATAATATACCAAATATTTTGACAGCTTGTACTATAATTTCTTCAATTCTACATCTTGGTACAGTTATTAGCAAGTAGATTGGAAATTTTGCACATCAAATCAGTTTTTTTAAACTTGATTTGGAGGAGTTAGAACTGTAAGATGATACTTAACATCTTTTATTATTTCAACCACAAAACTTCCTACTAGTTAACTTTTAGGACTTAAGTGTAAAATTATCAAATGAGCAGTGCCTCATAAGACTTTGTAATATTTTCCAAGGCACCTGTAAATAATGTCTGAGTCAGATGTTACACAGATGATCCTAGAAAAAGTCATCAGTAGAGATAAAAACTTACCACACATGTAGCCTCATCAAATTTGTTTCCCCAAATGTAGATATTAGAGAATGTGGGGTTTGTTTTCATTGATTTTGAAAGTGCAACAAGACCTTCTCCCTCTATGTTGTTGCTGACTACTGACAACCTGTAGGAAAACAAAATAACCCTGGAAACACAATTCCACAAAGAAATCCATTATTCCATATTTTAAAAATATTTTTATTTATCTGAAAGAGAGACAGAGGGAGATCTTTCATTTGTTGGTTCACTCCCCAAATGTCCATTACAGCCAGGACTTGAATAGTAAAGCCAGAAGCTCAGAATTCAATCCGGTTCTCCCACTTGGGTGGCAGGAATCTAAGTATTTGAGCCATTACCTGCCACCTCCCAGTGTGCAGTAGAAGGCTGGAACCAAAACCAAGAGCCCGGACTTGAACCTAGGCACTAAGTCATGGGATGCAAGCAGCATCTTAGCCACTACGCCAAACACACACCCCTTCAGTATGTTTTAATGTTATCATCAAAATATTGGCCATGTAATTCCTAAAATCTAAGAGATGTATTTTTCTAATTGGATGTATTTTCTTTTCACACTCACTTTTAAGCCTATCATATTGAAAGTTTATGATTTTTTTTTAAATTAAAGACAATATAAGCAGTCATAAGCAGGATTATGATTAAAAAATGTTACTTAGGAAAAGCAGAAATTGAAATGTTTACTGAAACTTTATACAATGAAGTTTAGAAACTACGCTTTCATATTTCATCATCCTTTTTTGAATATTTATTCAATTGAATAAATTAATCCAATTGAATTCAATTTATTTTTTTTTAAGAGAGAAAGCAGAAGACAGAGATCTGGTTCACTCTCCAAATGGCCACAATGACCAGGTCCCTGGTGTATTAGCAGAGAACTGGATCAGAAGTGGAGTGGCTGGGACTTGAACCAGTGCTTATATTGGGATGCTTAACCCATTGTACCACAACATCATAATCTTCAGAGTTAGGGGCTTTGAGATTAGTATTCTAAAAATTTAACTTTTTCTGTTGTCTTGATTAAATATAAAATCATACTAACGCTTTAAGACTTCTGTTGTATGAAGTTAGAGTTTCACTGAGATAGTTTGCTCCTGCATTTTCTATTCTGTTAAAAGAAAGATCTATTACTTCCAGAGTAGTATTGCATTTCAGTACATCAGCCAAATACACCATCCCATCATGAGTTATTTTATTGCTAGGAAAGAAAAAAAGTTATATTAGAAAACACAAAGTATTATTCTTGCATTCACAGTGATACCTCAAATCATTAATAAACAGTACTTTCTATTTTATTTTACTCAGTTTCTAAGACAAGTTAATGGAATTTAACCATAAAATTCTACTTTCATCCTGGTTTACATATGTAAACTGCTCATTCAAGTTATTTAGATATAGGATGTTAGTATAAACAATAAGTATTAAAGCTTAAAAAATAAAAGGTTGGTAACAGTGCCTGCATTTTCTAGTTAGAAATAATGTCTAATGAAGTATACCATGTACTATGGGATCTTTACACAGATTACTCCCATGACTTAAATAATTCATATGTAATTTATCACTTACCAGCTGACATCAAGGTACCGTAGGCTACTGTTAAGATACAGTGCGTCACATAACTGTTGTAAACCACTATTTTTTATATCATGCTTACACAAATGTAGTTCAACAAGGAAGTGATTTTCTTTCAACATGTGGCTTAGGTGAATGGTGGACTCTTCCTAAAAATAGATATAATCTAGTTTCTAAAATATAATTTTGAAGCAGTACATGTATATTCCAAACATATGCTGTTATTTAAATTATTTTTTAAGTATTTATTTACTTATTAGAAAGGCAAGATTGCAGAGAGAGGAAAAGAGAAAAAAGGAAAGGGAGAGGGAGGAGGGCAAGGAAGAGAGGGGGTGGGGGGTACCTCCCATCTGCTGGTTCAATCCCCAAATGGCTACAACAGCTGGGGCTGGGCATTTCCAAATCCAAGAGCCTGGAATTCCATCTGGGTGTCTCATGTGGGTGCATGGGCCCAAGTACTTGTGCCATCTTCCACTGCTTTCCCAGGCACATTATCAGCAAGCTGAATCAGAAGTTAAAAGGGACCAGTGCTGTGGCACAGTGGGTTAAAGCCCCAGCCTGCAGAGCATGTGCGCCGGTTCGAGTCCCTGCTGCTCCTCTTCAGATCCAGCTCTCTGCTATGGCCTGGGAAACCGGAAGATAGATAGCTCAAGTCCTTGGCCCCTGCACTCACTTGGGAGACCTGGAAGAAGCTCCTGGCTCCTGGCTTCAGATTAGCTCAACTCTGACTGTTGCGGTCATTTGGGGAGTGAACCAGCAGAATCGAAGACCTCTCTCTCTGACTCTACCTTTCTCTGAAACTGACTTTCAAATAAATAAAATAATTCTTAAAAAAAAAAAAAGGCACCCCAATATGAGTTGTGAGCATTCCACGCAGCATCTTAACCACTGTGCCAAGCACCTGCCCTTCTAATAAGCTTTATAGTCACTGGAAATGTTGATGATGAACATGGAAAACTGTATGTTCTTTGTTAGGTACAAGTACTCAGAAAAATCTGAAAAGCTAAATGAAACCACTTAGCAATAGCACAAAAGGTAAGTTTATAATAACCAAAACTGTCCAGGTGCTAACTTTACCTTTTACTTTACAAACAGGCAAATTGTTACCCAGCTGAGTCTATTTCTTTTTCTGTAAAGTGAAATTATGCTGTCCCTAAAATAATACATATAAAAAACACCTAGTGGGGCCTGTGCTGTGGCTCAGTAGACTAAGCCTCTGCCTGTGATGCTGGCATCCCCTATGGGTGCCCGTTCGTGTCCTGGCTGCTCCACATCCAGTCCAGCTCCCTGCTGATGCCCTGGGAAAGCAGTGGAAAATGGCCCAAGTGCTTGGGCCCCTGCACCCGCGTGGGAGACCCAGAAGAAGCTGGCTCCTGGCTTTGGATCGGCCCAGCTGCAACCATTGTGGCCATTTGGGGAGTGAACCAGTGGATGGACCTTTCTCTCTGTCTCTCCCTCTCTGTCTGTAAATCTACCTTGCAAATTAAATAAATAAAATCTTAAAAAAAGAAAAAGACCTGGCACAAAACAAGCATTCTGTAGCAAACTGAAATTTATTTTTTATAGTTCAGTATTCTGTAACTCTAAATCTGATTTGTTGGGAGTGTTGCTTTGACATTGAAAAAAAGGGATGATTTCTAATTTAGGGCTTTGAAATGCAAACTGACCACTTAGAGGGTGCAATGCTACTCTACCTGGTACCTGGGCACAGATGACATACCCAAGATATTTTTGCATTTGCATTTTAGGCTAAGAATCTTGAAAGAGAGGGGTCACCCTTATGAAGGGAGACATAGTAAAGCATTTTAGCCCCATTCACTGATTTAATTTGTTCAGAGTGGCACTTGACAATGACATTTTTCCAAACTCCCCATGAACAATCAAATTTGAGATCCAACATCTTACTGCTTCTTATTTTGTTATTTGTCCTTCATGTAATTAACAGTAAAACCCTTAAATGGAATAATTTTACAGGCTTTTATATAGGAACAGCAGAGCAGGGAAGTACAAGTACTTAATTCACAGAGCTCTGCAATCACCACCACCATCAGTGTTCTTAGGATTTTTTTTTTTTTTTTTTTTTTTTTTTTTTTTTTTTTTTGGACAGGCAGAGTTAGAGACAGAAAGGTCTTCCTTCCATTGGTTCACCCCCCAAGTTGCTGCTATGGCCAGCGCCCTATGCCAATCTGAAGCCAGGAGCCAGGTGCTTCCAGGTTGTCTTCCATGCGGGTGCAGGGCCCAAGGACCTGCGCCATCCTCCACTGCCTTCCCGGGCCACAGCAGAGAGCTGGACTGGAAGAGGAACAACCGGGACTAGAACCCGGGTTACCGGCGCAGCAGGCGAAGGATTAGCCTAGTGAGCCGCGGGACTGGCCAATGTTCTTAGGACACTTCCATCACTCCCCCCACCCCAAAAGCAGCCCCACACCCATTATCAAATACTCTCCCATTTTTCCCCTCCCCCTACTCCCCAGCCTCAGCAGCCACTGATCTCCTTTCTGTAGACTTGCTTATAAGTAGAATCAAAGTGGCTTTTTGTGACTGCTTTAACGTATTCAAGGTTCACCCATGTTGTAACATACCTGCACTGCATTCCTTTTTACTGCCAAACAATATTCCATTTTATGGGTACTCTGTCCCATCCCCAACCCCATCTCTCTGCCTCTCAAATCAGTTTAAAAAGTTTTTTAAAACACGGTTAATTCTCTTTAAAAACAAGTTTAAAGTTCATTTGAACACTGAACTTAAATGAACATTTGAACCTGAACTCGAATGCTTATTTTTTTGGGCTACACAAAGTGCTTTAAATATTTACCTTTTCTCTTAGGAGTGATATCTCTATTTTTGTTTAAAACAATAATTAAATTAATTCCTATTCCCTAGCTTTTTACTGATGAGAGTAATGTTAAACAGGGAGAATGTTAAACAGGGAGAAGCCTTGAAAGTGGGAACCATGTTTTTTGTTTATCTTTCTGTCTCCAGCCAAGAGCTTACCTAGAGATATGACCAAATCCCAATTCACCAGACCACCGTTTCGTTACAGATTTAGTAATGGCTAAGTCACATCACCATAACAGTAAAAAACTGCCACTTGATCATTTATGCTTTCCTTTTAAGTACTTTTGACCTCACAAGTTTACTTCCTCAGAAGAAAGGTGACACATGAGCTACATCTAAAAGCATATTTAGTTATAAATATCTTATAAACATTAGTATAATTTTCCTTTAAATAAGTTTCTGTTTGTAATTAGTACTTTATAAGTAAACAATTCCAAAAATATAATGAATATTGAACATAAATCACAATAGTACCTTAGTTTTATTGATCATTATGCTGCTTTTATTACCTACCATCACTTTGTACACATACCTGTTCACCATACAGTATGGGTCGGTTGAGGTTCATTCCCTTAATTGCTTGGTTTTGAGTTAGTACAGTAGCAAATGCTATCACACTTTGCATTCCCTGAAAACAGGTAAATTCATTAAGGAAACTGACAAACTTCATAAATTAATTCTCCTACATAAATATTTCAAGATCTGAAGTTCTGATAAGTCAAAATTGTTTTTTTTTAAAAAGGTTTATGTATTTCCTGCTCTACGTATTGTAGGTTGATCAAATTCAGAAATGAAGTGTTACTAAATTCTTTTTTCTCTGCCCTAAAATCTATCTCCAGCCTGCATGGGTGGTTCCCTGATGTCTCGCTGTTCAGTTTCTGGGCGCTTGCCCCAGGTCTGCTTGCCCCAAGTCTGCTCCCAAGCCTCAAAGTTCTATCCGATGCCCAGGGATGCAGACCTCCATGTGCAGACACACACATGGATTCTGGCTGGGGCTAGGATACTTAGGCAGTGCACATCCCTGAGCAAGCCTTTCATTTTCTTCCTCACACTCTGGTGGGAACATGTTACTAATCAGATTTTGTCACAGCTCCCACTGACCTCCCTCTCTCTACCCGACTGGAAGGGCCTAATCCTCCTTCCCTTGGGTGTTATTTGTTTGAAAGGCAGAGTTAGAGAGGAAGACACACACGGAGAGAAGAGAGATCTTCAGTCCTCTGGTTCACGCCGCAATTAGCCACAACAGCTGGGGCTGGGGTACACTGAAGCCAGCAGCCAGGAGCTCCATCTGGCTGTTCCACGTGGGTGCAGGGGCCGAACACCCAGGCCACCTTCTGCTTTTCCAGGCACATTAGCAAGGAGCAGGATGAGAAGTGGGACAGCAGGAACTTGAACTGGTGCTCATATGGGATGCCGGTGTTGCAGGCCATGGCTTAACCCACTGCACCACAATGCCAGGCTGACTTTCTCGTTATGAAAGTCTGTCATACTTCATATTTCATTATTCCTCCCTCCTGACTGCTGCCATATCTGAATATGCAAAATTTCTCAGTACTACTTTCCTATTAATACTTTGCCACAAAGCTCACTGTTCCACTGTAATATTGTGTCCTGCCATAAAAGAAAATCATCCCTTGAAATAAATAGAAACATCTATAAACATGAATATCAAAATTACTTCGTCGCCCATACAGGCAGTGCTACTCATACCCTACTTAAGGAATCACTGTCTTTGTGTCTTACGCTAGCTCCCCTGCCTGCAGTGTTCTGCCACAGACCCTCTCCATGGTGGTTATTCCTACACCTTATTACTGCAGCACCTTCCCAGGTTTTAACTGACCATCCTGTCACCATCTCTTCTCTTCTCAAAGAACTCAGTCATGGTTGCGTTTTTCTCGGTTTCTTCCCTTCTCTCCTTCTTCCCATCTCTCTTTCTTCCCTCCCCTCCCCTCCCCTCCCCTCTCTCTGTCTCTCTCTTTCTCTCTCTCTCATCTATTTATTTGAAAGGCAGAGAGAGAGATACCAGTCTTCTATTTGCTGGTTCACTCCTCAAATGGCTACAAATGGCCCAGAGTTAGGCCAGATTGAAGCTAGGAGCCAGGAACTACAGTAGGTCTCCCACGTGGGTGGCAGGGCCCATGAACTTGGGCCATCACTTGCCACCTCCCTGGCACATTAGCAGAGAGCTGGATCAGAAGCAGAGCAGCTGTGACTTGAAAAGACCTTCCAGTAGGGGATGCCGGTATTGTATGTGGCAGCTTAACCTGTTGCACCATAGATAGATATTTTACCAGCTAAATATAATCTGGGGGGCCAGTATTGTGGCACAGGTTAAGATGCTACTTTCGATGCCACATTGGAGTGATAGTCTGGGTCCCAGCTGCTCTGCTTCCGGTCTACCTCCCTAACATGTCTAGGAAAGCACTGGAAGATGGCCCTTTGGGCCCCTGCCACCTATGTGGAAGAACAGGATGGAGTTCCAGCCTGGCTTCAGCCTGCCCAGACCTGCCTGTCATTTGGGAAGTGAACCAGCAGATAGAAGATTTCCCCTTCTCCCAACCCCTCCCCCTGTTGCTCTACCTTTCAAATGAATAAATAAATAAATAAATCTTAAAATATAGGGGCTTTTTACACATCAGAGCCATATCTAAATCGCTTTGGTAGTCTTAGTACCTAACAGAATGGCTGACATGTATCCAAAATGAATATTGAATTAATGCTTTCCCAGAACCATACAGGTAGCATCTACTACCTTAAACCAACAACCCCAAAGAGCTGCCTGGCCCATCTTACTATTTTCATATCCCAGTGAATTTTGCATTACTCTTAAGCTATGTACCAGGTTCCTAAGAGTGGGCCTTGGGGCTGGCGCTGTGGCGCAGTGAGCTGACACCTTGCCTGAAGCATTGGCATCCCATATGGGTGCCGGTTCAAGACTCGGCTGCTCCACTTCCTGTCCAGCTCTGGGAAAGCAGTAGAAGATGGCCCAAGTCCTTGGGCCCCTGCACCCCTGTGGGAGACCCGGAAGAAGCTCCTGGCTCCTGGCTTCAGATTGGCACAGCTTTAGCCGTTGCAGCCATCTGGGGAGTGAACCATTGGATGGAACACCTCTCTCTCTCTCACAAAAAAAAAAAAAAAAAAAAAAAAAAAAGAGTGGGCCTTAATTTTTGAAAGCGTGTTTGACAAAGTGAAGTCTGAAGACATACAAAGCACACATTTCTCTATCAGGCCAGAAGGCGGCTCATAGCAGCTTTTAGCATCCTAATTTTAAGTTTTTAATGCTATTAATATAAATAATAAGTATCTATAAGCTATTTTCATAAATAAAAGAACTTATAAGGACTGGTATTGTGGTGCAGTAGGTTAAGCTACTGCTTGCTGTTGGGACCATTTGGGTGGCAAATCAGCTGATGGAAAAATCATTCTTTATCCCTGTCAGTCCCTCCCTCTGCCATTCTGCCTTTCAAATAAACAAAGTTAAAAAAAAAAAAAATTGGGGGCCCCATGTTGTGGCATAGCGAGTAAAGCCACCACTGGGTCAAGTCCCAGCTGCTCCACTTCTGATCCAACTCCCTGCTTATGGCCTGGGAAAGCAGTGGAAGATAGCCAAAGTGTTTGGGTCCCTGTCACACATGTGGGAGACCCAGATGAAGCTCTGGGCTCCAGGTTGGCCCAGTTGGCAGCCATCTAGATAGTAAACCAGAAGATGGAAGGTCTCTCTCTGTCTCTCTTCTCTAACTCTTTCAAATCAATCAATCAATCTTTTTTTTTTTTAAAGAATTTATATTATACTAATGAGGTACTATTTAGTTAAAAAAGAGTACTTTCTTTTTTTTTTAATTTATTTATTTGAAAGTCAGAGTTACACAGAGAGAGAAGGAGAGGGAGAGGGCAAGAGAGAGAGAGGTCTTCCATCCTCTGGTTCACTCCCTAAATGGCCACAATGGCTGGAGCTGTGCTGATTCAAAGCCAGGAGCTTCTTCCAGGTCTCCCACGTGGGTGCAGGGGCCCAAGGACTTGGACCTTCTTCTTCTGCTTTCCCAGGCCGTAGCAGAGAGCTGGATGGGAAGAGGAGCAGCCGGGAATAGAACCAGCGCCCATATGGGATGCCGGTGCTTCAGGCCAGGCCATTAACCTGCTGCACCACAGCACCACTTTCTTTTTTTGTTTGTTTGTTTTTTGTTGTTGTTGTTGTTTTTAAAGATTTATTTATTTTATTTGAAAAGCAGAGTTACAGAGAGGCTGAGGCAGAGAGAGAGAGAGAGAGAGACAGACTGACTTCCATCCGCTGGTTCACTCCCTCAGATGGCCACCAAGGCTGGAGCTGCACTGATCTGAAACCAGGAGCCAGGAGCTTCTTCTGGGTCTCCCATGTGGGTGCCATCTTCCACTGCTTTCCCAGGCCATAGCAGAGGGCTGGATTGGAAGTGGAGCAGCCGAGACTCAAACCAGTACCCATATGGGATGCTGGCACAGCAGGCGGTGCCTTTACCCACTACATCCCAGTGCCAGTCCCCAGTTTTTTGCTTTAAAAAATCCAATACAAATTAAAATGAGCTATGAATGCAAGTTTTAGAATGTTTTTATTATTACTGGGTAGTTTTCTATAGTATTTACTATTACTATAATCTGATTTTATTAACAGTCTGTACTATTATGTTGAGGGAGAGGAAAAAACACTTTTTCTCTGACATTGGACATTAGTGGCAAGATGAATCATTCTTCTTCTTTTTTTTTTTTTTTTTTTTTTTTGACAGGCAGAGTGGACAGTGAGAGAGAGACAGGTCTTCCTTTGCCGTTGGTTCACCCTCCAATGGCCGCTGCTGCAGCCGGCGCACTGCGCTGATCCGATGGCAGGAGCCAGGAGCCAGGTGCTTTTCCTGGTCTCCCATGGGGTGCAGGGCCCAAGCACCTGGGCCATCCTCCACTGCACTCCCTGGCCACAGCAGAGGGCTGGCCTGGAAGAGGGGCAACCGGGACAGAATCCGGCGCCCCGACCGGGACTAGAACCCGGAGTGCCGGCGCCGCAAGGCAGAGAATTAGCCTAGTGAGCCGCAGCGCCGGCCCAAGATGAATCATTCTTAAAGACTCATTTAGCTGGTCTCCTGAACAGTTCTCTCCGTTAGTTTCATGGAAGAATGACCCACAATCAGGGTGGTTTCTCATAACTCATTTACTCACCAGATCACAATCACCCAGATCTAATTTCTCTAAAGAGGAATTTATTTGCAACATTGTAGCAAAAAACATTCCACCTTTATTTTCAATCTTGTTTCCAGTCATTCTTAGGTATTTCAGGGTTGTATTCTTCTGAAAGGAAAAAATTAAAACTTAATTAAGTTTTAGTCTACAGAATTCTCTAAATTACATGAGTTAGGAAACCATATTACTATTTGTAGACTCATCTGTTTTTCATGGAGTAAGACATGTTTCTTAAAGTTAACCTTCAATTTCCCCGTAATAGATAAGAATCTAGTTTGGTAGAAAGAATGCTCCCGAGACAAGTGCCTAAACAATAAACAGTAAATAGAGCAGATTTTGGTAAACTTTCCTTCTAATGCAATGTCAATAAATTTATCTTCTATGAAAATTACACCATTTCACTTTTTTTGTATTCAGGTGAAATTTATGTAAAATTAATCATTTAAAGTGTTCAAACTAGTGGTGTTTGGTGCATTCACAGAATGTTGTGCAGCCATCATCTGCAGCTGGTTCCAGGACATGTTCCTCACCCTAAAGGTGGGTCTGTACACATTACGTAGTCACTTCTCCCCCCAAATCACCTTTAAAGTAATATTTCTCAGACATTTGCAGAAGTTTAACTCCATCTCTTTGTCTGCTTTTATGGTATATCTTCCACCAAGAAAACTTTAGACATTTCATTGTTTTAATGAATAAACAGGACATATAATAGTGCACATAATTACCATTAAAATGCATTCAGATTCCTGTAAGACCAGAAAGACAAGGATGTTTGCTCTCACCCTGCCTATTTAACATTATTTTGGAGGTTCTAGCCAATGCAGTTAAGCAAGAAAGAAAGCAAACATCCAAATTGGAAAAGAAGTAAAACTCTGATTGTATATGGCATGATCTTGTACTTTATGGAAATTCCTAAGGAATCCACAAAAAAAAACCAAACAGCTTAATAAATAAGTTCAGCAAAACAAGATACATGATCACAGACTTGGGAGAACTGTAAAAAGGTGTAGCCACTTAGGGAAACAGCTCCTCAAAATGGTAACAGAGTTATTACATGACCCAGCAATTCCACTCCTAGGTATACAATCTCCAAAACTGAAAACGTGAGTCTACACAAAAATGTGCAGATATCCATACATGGTTCCTAACAGCCAAAAAGTACAAAAACCAGCTGCCCATTAACTGATGGATGAGTACACTACAATGTTCCCATAAAATGGAATATTGTTTGACAACAGAAAGGAATGAAGTGCAGGTATGTTATAACATGGGTGAACCTTGAATATGTTAAAGCAGTCACAAAAGCCACATATTATTTGATTCTACTCATATATAAAATCTACAGAAAGTAGATCAGTGACTACCAGAGGCTAGAGAGTAGGGGAGGGGAAAAATGGGAGACTATTTGATAATGGGTTTGGGGTTGCTTTCAAGGGGGTGGAGGGTTTGATGAAAATGTCCTAAGAACACTGATGGTGGTGATGGCTGCACAACTCTGTGACTATAATTTAAAAAAAAGTGTATCAAAGACTCTAAGAGGATATATTTTATATATGTAAATTATATCTCAATAAAGCTGTTTATTTTTTAAATGTGTTCAAAGGTGTTCATGTAATGTCCACACTTCAATAAACTGATGTACAGTAAAAAATACATTCCTACAATATTAAAATAAGTTCATATTAACATTTAACACTTTTTTCCCAAGGTATCAGAAGTTAAAATTCCCACACAAAGCATTAGCTTGAAGTACATAAGTACTTACACGTAGTGCTTTGGCAATGAGTTCTCCCCCATCTGGCCCAATATCATTAAACATAAGGTTTAAGTAAATGAGATAAAGTTGTTTCTAAAATAAAGAGGTAAAATAAACTTACTACACATAGATTACTGGAAATCAATCAATTTAAATTTACACATGTACACTCACATAAACATACAAACTTTATTTTAGTAAAAATGTTGTTAACTCCAAAGGATATCTTTATGACCCAGAAAAACTAAAATTCCAGAAAAGCAACTACCATTAAAACAAATAAAAGATCATCATTTAAGCAAAAATATAATTGCAATATAAATGACAGAAAAGACTACGTTCAGTTTTGCCCAACAGTTGGAAGTATGGCTGTGCTTTATGTGTTCAGTCATGGTGCACATGTGCCTGACAGCTGACTCAGGGACTCTGGGTTCCAGCTCTTAATAAGACACATGAGTTTTCAGTGGAACAAATATAGCAGAAAAATCATTTCAATAAATAAACAATATAGCAGAGTCAGGACCCTTGACATTTTGCAAAAACTAGTGATCTTGTGTGTGCCATTAGCCTAAGTGGTTTCACTGTCAACAGAAAGAGGGATATTCTGTAGGAAAATATACCTGCAGCAGCTTTGCAGCATAGTATGCGCCAACATCACTTAGGAGGTTGTATCTAACATCCAAACCTAAGAGATACAGATGAATAGAAGCTGATACTCCTTATAAAGAATACTTCCAAACTCAGGAAATGAAAAGCAGCAGGTATTGATTCTTAAGGACACATACCAGAAATACACGGATGATTCTTTAAAAGTTTGGAAAGAATCCAAAAATCTTCACCTGTTACTCTTTCTACTGGTATTAAACGATTGTTACCAGCAATGTTTACTGTGATTCCTTTTTCCACTCTGTTAATATTAAAAACGAATTCTTTTAATAAATAAATCCAGTAAAGAAAGGAAAGGATTTTTTTCATCATGTGTAAATAGTAACATTGTAGATAACATTTACCGGAACCAAGTCTGTGGTGGACTTAACTAGATAGATAGACACAGGTAACTTAAAGCTACTGAACATTCTACAGACTTTGCAAAAGCACTTTATTATACACTGCATAACAATTTCTCACAAAGTATCCCTGCTTTATAGATAGTAACATTGAAAATTTCAGTGATTTACCTAAACCCACGCAACTCACAAGAGTTAAGTCCAGAGCCCAGGCTTGGAGACTTGTGGTCTAGCGCTCTTCTCAATATCCTATACCACCTCTGAAACTTGCTGACAGTGTCACTCAGCTACTTATCTGAATCAAGCACCTTCAACTGGCTACAAAATCACTGAGTAGAACAGGATTTTCACCACTGAGTACCCTTGAATACTACTGATATAATCAAGCATTGGTGTTCCTTACCCCTTTTTAATTTCTTCATCCACTTCTTGGAGTATACGTAATATAAAATGGTTAATTTTCCGGTGTTTCTCCATACACAGATTATAATAATCTTCCTGGAGGTTGGCAAGAGCCTCCAGAGCTTTTGAAAAAATAAATGGATCTATCATCACATATAAATTATTCCAGAAGCTTTAAAAACAAAACAAAACAAAAACCCTCTTTCAAAGATGTGAGTGTATGGGTGTCATTGGGGTAGGGAAGAAAAGAAGACAGAATTTCAGGATAGAAGAAGAGGAAAGAAATAAAAGTAATGGGAAAGGAGGCCGGCGCCACGGCTCACTAGGCTAATCCTCCGCCTTGCGGCGCCGGCACACTGGGTTCTAGTCCCAGTCGGGGCGCCGGATTCTGTCCCGGTTGCCCCTCTTCCAGGCCAGCTCTCTGCTATGGCCCGGGAGTGCAGTGGAGGATGGCCCAAGTGCTTGGGCCCTGCACCCCATGGGAGACCAGGATAAGCACCTGGCTCCTGCCATCGGATCAGTACGGTGAGCCGGCCGCAGCGGCCATTGGAGGGTGAACCAATGGACCAACGGCAAAGGAAGACTTTTTCTACCCCCCCCCCCCACTGTCCACTCTGCCTGTCAAAAAAAAAAAAAAGTAATGGGAAAGGGAATAAAAATGCTAGCTGTAGAATGAGGGTCATGGAAGCACCCACTGAGGGGATTCAGGTCAGCACCCTAACTGAGAAGCGACATGAAGAGAAGCACTCATCTCTGTTATGAGGCAGATTAGGCAGTTGAGGAAAGTGATGTCCAGAAAAATGAAACATTTTGTTCAAAATCACACAGTTAATTGGGGCAGAGCACAGAATCACTGGCTCCACAGCTTTTCCACTGTGCCTTATTGGGCTAGAGTAACTCAGGCTCTCAAAACAGCTTCAAATAAAGCCAATTTTATCTGACAGTCTAATGATCTGAAAAATCACCTGTTCCCACAAGCCTCCTGGACACCCTCCAGAACATCCCAGCTTGGCAATGCCTTGGCACGGAACTGGTTTTTCACACCCAAGGGAGGCCTGGCTCACAGAAGCTCTTCCCGGGCCTGGGATCTTCCACTTCCTTTTTCTAAAAGTGATTTTCCCACATTCAGTTCTCAATAAAGCAAAGAAGGAGCAGAGGTCTCCTTTATTACACGCACACCTTTCCTTAATGCTCTTAAAATACTACTTAAAAGGCATCTTTGGCAAGGCCCACGTGTTCTGTTGCTTTTCTTAGAAGCATAGGCTGGCCACTGTTGTTTTCATTCCTTCCATCTTTTCGTGTATGTCTTTTTAAGAATCCATGCTCAGAGCTCTCACTGACTAATCTGTTGTGGGTTTTTGTTTGTATGTTTTAAAAGCGCCATGGTCTCTAAGTAACTGCATCTTAGAAATGTCTTGATAGGGCCAGTACTGTGGCACAGCAAGTTAAGCCTGCACCTATGGTGGTGCCGGCATCCCTGATGGGCACAGGTTCAAGTCTCGGCTGCTCCACTTCAGATCCAACTCCCTGCTGTGGCCTGGGAAAGCAGTGGAAGATGGCCCAAGTGTTTGGGCTCCTGCATCCGTGTGAGAGACCAGTTAGAAAATCCTGGCTCCTGGCTTCAGCCATTTGGGGGAGTGAACCAGAGGATGGAAGATCTCAGTGTCTCCTCCTCTGTTAACTTTGACTTTCAAATAAATAAATAAAAAGAAATGTCTTTTGCTGAGTGGATTTCTGTACTATATGATTTAAAGAGTTTGCTAAGCAGATCTGCAGACCAAGATTTAGGACAAGGAACACTGTATTTAAAATGAAAGGATGGCCGGCGCCGTGGCTCACTAGGCTAATCCTCCACCTTGCGGCGCCAGCACACCGGGTTCTAGTCCCGGTCGGGGCGCCGGATTCTGTCCCGGTTGCCCTCTTCCAGGCCAGCTCTCTGCTGTGGCCAGGGAGTGCAGTGGAGGATGGCCCAAGTGCTTAGGCCCTGCACCCCATGGGAGACCAGGAGAAGCACCTGGCTCCTGCCATCGGATCAGCGCGGTGCGCTGGCCGCGGCGGCCATTGGAGGGTGAACCAGCGGCAAAAGGAAGACCTTTCTCTCTGTCTCTCTCTCTCACTGTCCACTCTGCCTGTAAAAAATAAAAATAAAAAAAAATAAAATGAAAGGAAATAAATTTGTCTTATATCTTTAAGAAAAACGTTTTATAAATACATTTCACACACATGCTTACTCCAGTTTGGAAATTTCCATATAAGAAAACACATGCTCGTCAGTACTCCCCCTGCCAACCACAGCCACAGCTCAGGCCTTGCAGCACTTCCTCTGTTCTTGTATATGTATGTGTGTGTTTTTAAACAAAACTTGAATCTTTCATTATAGTTTGACATTCTTTTTTAAGATAACAAAATGTGGGGCCGGCGCCATGGCTCACTTGGCTAATGCCAGCATCCCATATGGGCGCCAAGTTCTAGTTCCAGTTGCTCCTCCTCCAGTCCAGCTCTCTGCTGTGGCCTGGGAAGGCAGTGGAGGATGGCCTAAGTGCTTGGGCCCTGCACCCACATGGGAGACCAGGAGAAGCACCTGGCTCCTGGCTTCAGATCAGCACAGCGCTGGCCATGGCAGCCATTTGGGGAGTGAACCAATGGAAGGAAGACCTTTCTCTCTGTCTCTCTCTCTCACTGTCTGTAACTCTACCTGTCAAAAAAAAAAAAAAATAACAACAAAATGCAGTTTTCCCATGTGCTTAGTCTCTGAAAGCTTACAATGCCAGCATATTACCTGACATGTGGATGGATGTACATAATGAAAGCCTTTACCTACTTAAGGAAATTTTTGTGTATCTAACAAATACAATAGAACAGTATTTCCCAAAAAGGGTTGTGTAAGAAATTAATATTCTAAAGATAAGAGATGTTCCAAATAGAATGAGTTTTATTTTCAATTTGAGAAGTGTTAATTAAACAAAGCTAGGCAGAGCCCTACCTCCCACACATCTCAGGATATTTAAAATACGCCCATATGCAGGCTCTTCAGATAGTTGAGGTTGGAGTGAAGGAGTGACATGAACCTTGCCTTTCCCAGACTGAGGCAACCATGGCTCACTTGGAATGCAGTCTAGAAAATGCTGCCTTGGCATCCTGGCCAGGAAACACAGCAAGCACAGCAGATCTCAAGCAGAAGCTGCAGCTGAGCTCCCACTGGGCCCCTTCTGGCTAACTGCCTTCCCTGATACAAAGAAGGGAAGGACTGAGAATCGCACACACGGAGGTTCCATGCTGGCCACACACACCCCTGACATACAACTCATTTTTGTGACTTATAAATAAAGGAACAGATTGCAAGGGAAATATGGTAGAGAAAGTTATGAGAATATTCTTGCTTTGCTAGCTATTGAGTTTAAGTATTCAAGTTTCGGGAAGTGTGAATTTAGCTTAAAGGTTGAGATGGCCATGCCCCACGTCAGAGTGCCTGGGTTCAGTGCTGGGATCCAGCTCCTGACTCCAGCTTCCTGCTCATGCACTTAAACAATAAGGCATTTTAAAATTGTAAAGCAAAAAAGTAGAGAATAACACAGCTAGGCAGGAAACTGTCAAGAAGCTAAGCCAAATTTTTTCAGTCACACTTCTGGCAGTGTGTTTAAAAATCTAAAGAAGAGGGGCTCATTTTGGGGGCAGCGTTGTGGCACAGTAGGTTAAAATCCTTTGCCTGCGGCGCCAGCATTCCATATAGGCGCCAGTTCTAGTCCTGGCTGCTCCTCTTCCAATCCAGCTCTCTGCTGTGGCCTGGGAAAGCAGTAGAAGATGGCCCAGGTCCCTTGGGCCCCTGCACCCACGTGGGGGACCGGGAAGAAGCTCCTGGCTTCGGATCGGCACAGCTCTGGGCATTACTGCGGGCATCTGGGGAGTGAACCAACCGATGGAAGCCCTCTCCCTCTCTCTCTCTCTCTCTGCCTCTCCTTCTCTCTCTGTATAACTCTTCCAAATAAATAAATATTTTTAAAAGGGGAGGGGCTCATTTTGGAGATAGTTCCCTCCAAACTATTCCATCTGAGAACAGCTAATTTCTGGGAAATCCAAGGGCTGACAGTCACACTTGGATGCTCTATCCAAGGAATCTGCAGTGTGTAACTTGGAGTAAAATACTTAAATTTCTGCATATATGAAAGGCAGGGCACAGCAATGTCCATCTCCCGGGTGCACTAAGGATTAAGTAAGGCCCTGAGCACAGTTTCATACCTACAAACACACACCTTCATTTATTTTTTAAAAATTATTTTGCTTATTTGAAAGGCATCGAGACAGAGCTTCCATCTGCTGGTTCACTCCCAAATGCCCGAAAAAGCTGGGACTGGGAGAAGCTGAAGCCAGGAGCCTGATCCGGACCCTCCGCGTGGGTGGCCCTCATTGAGGCATCTCCTTGAGGCATCACCTGCTGCCCTCCAGGTGATCCTTCCCCTCAGAGGGAAGCTGGAACTGAAGTCAGGCATTCCGAGGTGGGACAGGGGCATCCCAACCCTCGTGCCAAGGCCCGCCCTGCTCAACACACACAGACTTCCAAGCAAGCATCCAAAACTGGAACGGGGCGGTTGGAGTGCGGGGGAGCAGCTGCTGGGGCCGACATTCAGGCTACGCTTAATTTGTCAGTGATTTCTCGGTCGCAAAGATATTTAAAACAGAGTGGTCGAGCGGAGCCAGGGCGGGACGCTCTCGGAGCTCTCTCGCTCACCTGGGGCCTGCTCTCAGGGGCTACCCTGCAAAGGGGCCGAGAGAAGCGTCCCCCTCCCCGAGACCTTGACAGCAAAGCCACAGACACACCTTCCTTCGATTACCAGGATGGCCGGCGCTGCACCCCGCCCCAGGGCCCCCTCCCAGCCCGCGCTTGGGGCTGCCCCAAAACCTGGGCACAGCTGAGGCTCTCTCCACAGCGCCGCCTCCGGCCCGCAGCCCGCTCCAAGGACTCGGCCTGGCGCCCAGGGGCACCCTACTTCTTACCCTCTTCGCCCGACGGGGCCAAAGCTGAAGAGTCCGCAGTGGGGGTGACATTGGCGGACCCGGCCGGGCCGGGGGCGACGTCCTCCGGGTTGCTCGCCATGCTGCTCTCACCTTGGCAGCCCCCGCGTCGGCGGCGCTGCCATGACGACCGCGCGCGCCCCGCCCCTCGCGGGCCTCGGGGGAGCCAGAGGGGGCGGAGCGAAGGCGGGGAGCTGCGGCTGCGCCATCCCCAGCCAGGCTTCGAGGAGGCCTCGGAGGCCTCCCTGGACCGGCTGTGACCGCTGGTTCTGTGGAGGCCCTGCAGTCACCCCGCCGTGGGTTAAAGGCACACAGGGAGGGCGCCCCGGCCCCCAAGCAGGCAGGAGTTCCCCAGGCTAGGGGGCCTCGGCGGCTGGGCTAGGGACTCTGGTTGCGAAGGAGACGATGCTAGTCCCCTCCCTCAAAGTGTGCACCTGCTTGTGTTGAGGGCCCCGGGCTATGGGATCACAAAGGGTTTGTGGAGGGGCGGGGCCCTGGCGAGGGGCTGCTCCCAGCCGCGCCCCCGGGATTGGCCTGAGACAGCCTGCCGGGGCGCCGGACTGCTTGGCGCGCGCTGGGGAGGCGCAGGTACAGGGGAGTACCCAGATCTGCACCGGGGGTGGGGAGGCGGGAAAGGCCAGATCCGCAGGGAGCCCCAGGCATCTTCTGAGGAGCTCAGCTGTGTCGGGGCAGGGCTCTGGGAGCCGACAGATCCGCGCCGCCGGCGTAGGGGGCTGGATTTGACGCAGCCCTCCTTGAGTCTGCGATTTTTCAAGTGCCTTTGGCTCCAAGGAATCCTTGTGCCAAAATGGCATTGGAGGGATGTCATGTTCTGCCATTCCTCGTTATCCTTACATGAGCTTCCGTCCCGGGCCAGTCAAGGCTACTGCCGGCATGTCTGTGATCCGCAGCTTGTTACAGGGGAAAGATCTCGTGGGTGAAGTTTAAAGCAGAACGTCGACCTTATTTTAACCGGAAATGGCTATGGTCCCAAGAGTCACAAACCGTATTAATCTGAAGACCCTAGTGGCACCATCTAGCTTGTGTGTAATCAGACTTGGAAGCAGAAGCAGCAGCTCTCACTAAATTTGATAAGTCTCCATTCAGGCTTTCTCAGGCATTAGAATTAGACAAGCTAAGACTAATTATTAAACGATCTAGATCTTGGCTTCTTGAAATGAAGATGCATTATTCATTTAAAATTATTTATTTGAAAGGCAGAGAGAGAAAGAGAGATCAAAAGATCCCATTCACTGGTTCGCTCCCCTGATGTGGGAACTCCATCCTGGTCTCCCGTGTGGGAGGCAGGGACTCAGCTACTTGAGTCATTGCCTGCTGCCTCCCCAGATACAGATTAGCAGGAAACTAGAATCAGGAGCAGAGCTGACACTCAAAACCAGGCACCCCATATGAGTTACAGGTGTCTCAACTGCTTTGCCAAACATCTGCCCCACGTTATCCTATATAGAAACTATCCTACAGTTAGGTCGGATTACAAAAGAGTAAGTGCCTTTGATCACGTCCAGGTGGCAATCCCTAAGAAAAAAATGGCCATTAAAGACTCATTCTTCCCTATTTTTGTATACTGTAGCTGAATTACTGGCAAAGCTATTGTAAATCCTGAATTTACAATCTTCTTTTTTAAATCCTCAAATTGATCAATTGATTGACCTTTTAATCTCTTTCAGAAGCTGTCAAATTCGTTCCAGCCACATGTGGTTTATTTGACTAGGATATTATAATATAGGAACACACAAAATCAGACATTTTAGCAGGTCTTACCATGCAACAAGATGATTGAGAAGTACGTCTTTGCATGTGGAAGCCCAGACACCATGTTCGCTCTAATCCGCGGAGCTGGTCCACACAAATTTCCCTAGTTGACTCTGCGGGGAGGGCACAGAAGGAAACCAGGCCTGAAACCTCGCACCCAAAGAGTGCGCTGAATAACAATCAGACTTCTTGTGAACACATGATGTGAAAAATCTATGGCTGGCGCTGTAGCTCTCTTGGCTAATCCTCCTCCTGTGCGCTGGTACCCAGGGTTCTAGTCCCGGTTGCTCCTCTTCCCACCACAGCTCTCTACTGTGGCCCAGGAGGGCAGCAAAGGATGGCCCAAGTGCTTGGGTCCCTGCACCCGCATGGGAGACCAGGAGGAAGTACCCGGCTCCTGGCTTCGGATCAGCGCAGCGCGCCAGCCATGGCAGCCATTTGGGGAATGAACCAATGGAAGGAAGACCTTTCTGTCTGTCTATAACTCTCTCTCTCTCTCACTGTCTAACTCTGCCTGGCAAAAAAATAAAATAAAAAAAATCTATCCAAGTTCAGATCAGATTCTCTGCTTCTACTCCCAATTCCTACCATGTTCTGAGAAGAGTTTTTTTTTTTTTTTTTCTGTTTAATATCTGTGAGGGATAATAATGGTCCTCCTTCAGATTAGTTTAAAGCCAAGAGCACATAATAAATGTCCTATGTGTTCTCTAATAGTCTAGGAGCCTTTAGCATTTTCAGAAATTTGAATTTAGGAAACTGGAGATTTTAACCTACAGGACTGAAACTTTCTTAGATTAATCTTCCTGATGACAGGGTAAGAAAAATGTTGGAGACAGTTCAACACACAATTTAATCAATAGGAAGTCTTTTCATTTCTTTAAATAACAAAAGGCAACACAGTCCCAGAGCTCTCTTTGAGGCTAGGCATAAAGTAACCACATGCTGTTATGAAGCGAGGAGCAGTCATATTCAGTGTGGGGCTGGAAACCACCCACTTTGTGTGGGGCCTGGGCCTCGGTGGTGGACAAGAGCAAGGAGAGGCCCAGCTTAGAAAGGTCAAAGATGCTGCACTCAAGCAGCCATCAGCTCACATTGGAGGAAAGTAGACATCACAACTGAGTATTTTTTAATGTATAAAGTTTATTTAGCATGTTGTTTAGAAAAATAGGTTCCCATCATTTCAGAAAACAAATCAAACACTTAATTGTCCAGACAGGACCCACCCCCCCATTACAGTACAACATAAATACTCTAGATCTCTCTGGTTGGGTAATTAAGCATAGGAGTGAGTGCCCTGGGACATGCTCTGTGTACCATCACCTAACAGTGCAATAAAGACTCGGTTACCCCACCCAGCAAGGACATTCTGTATAGAGTTTCTATATGTGTAAGGCACAGTAAAACCATACTGAGTATCTAACTGGTTGCCCCTGAAGATACGGTACATGCAACAAAAGAATAAAAAAAACCGAGCACCCTGAAAAGCAAGAGTCACATGCTATACAATTTTGATTAATAAACTCTATGGTAGTAATATTCAATTACACAAAATGTATGAATTAGATACAAAATAACTGTTACGCTCTACTGTCTAAGTTTTAGGAAGACTTTGAAGCATTTTTTTAAAGATTATTTGAGAGGTAGAGTTACAGTGAGTTTAAGATTTTTTAAAAAGATTTTATTTATTTGAGAGGTAGAGTTACAGACAGTGAGAGGGTGAGACAGAGAAAAAGGTCTTCCTTCCGTTGGTTCACTCCCCAAATGGCTGCAACGGCCAGAGCTGGGCCGATCCAAAACCAGGAGCCAGGAGCTTCCTCCAGGTCTCCCACATGGGTCCTTGGGCCATCTTCTGCTGCTTTCCCAGGCCACAGCAGAGAGCTGAATTGGAAGAGGAGCAGCCTGGAACAGAACCAGCACCCACATGGGATGCCTCTACGCCACAGCACTGGCCCCCGAAACATCTTTTGTAAAATGAAGTTCTTTTCCCAGTTTTCCTGAATTTTTTATGAGATCATCTGTCAACGTGCTTTACATGAAGACCTTGTTGCTCTCTACTAATAATGCACACATGTCTGGCGTGTGGCAGGACAGGCTGCAACCCATGCATAACTGAGTATTCCAACCCATGTGCATGATGTACCTCTCCACTCATTTAACACTTTGATTTCTTTCTGGGTTGCAGTTTTACAGCATTTCAATTCACTGCCTTTTCAAATTGCCCTGCTTATGGATTTAAGCTCATTCTGCCACCCAGGCTTAGGACCCAGGCCCATCAGTCTACAGGACCTCCCTCTGCTTTCTAGCCCAGTTTGCAGTTTTCCCTAAGACCACTTAGCCAAACAAAGCCTGATGGGGAAACTGATACTGTGTTTGAGGCTATTCTAGATCCTGACCCACCACGTCAACCCACACACAGCTGTTAAAACTTGGCTGGCTTCTCCTCATTCCAGAACTTCCTTAGGCTTTTTTGGCTTCTCCGCCTGCAGTCTGCAAACTTGAAAATGCCACTAGTCATGCGAGGCCACTTGCTGTTCTCTACCTACTGAGGAAATGCTGGCTCATCACTAGCCCATGGTTCTTTCAGCTTTCTTTGCATCTGTAACTCTCTGGTGGCTTTAAGGAAAAACATAACATTTTTAAATGTGGAGTCTTTGTTTTTTAAAGTCTTCTCAGTAATATGATGAGAGTAATAACCTTTTGGAGCCAGTGTTGTGGCACAGCAGGTTAAGCTGCCACCTAAGATGTCAGTATCACGAAGGAACACCAGTTTGAGTTCTGGCTGCTCTGCTTCCATTCCAGTTCCCTGCTAAAGCACCTGGGAAAGTAGTGAAAGCTGGCCCAAGTGTTTGGGCTTCTGCACCTACGTGGGAGACTTGGATAGAGTTCTAGGCTCCTGGCTTCTGTCTAACCCTGCCCTGGCCATCGTTGTCATCTGTGAAGTGAACAAGCAGATGGAAGATTCTCTCTCACTCTAACTCTGCCTTTCAAATAAATAAATAAGCCTTTAAAAAAAGTAATCACCTTTGCAACCTTCTTCATCTTACCTGGGAACAAAATCAAAATAGGAACACATACATATTGCATGCTCTATAACATATATATAGTCCTATATAAATTTGATGTGACTCAACCTGTTAGGAAAAGAGGAGCCTACATTTTAATTCTGCTCACATAAAACAAAAACCTACATTTCATGTTGCTTCATACATTCAAGTACTAAGTTGAATCAACTAAATTTTATGTTTCTTAGGGATAAAAGGGTGGTGGCAGGTAAATTCTAATTTCCCCCCCTTTATCCACAGTATCTCAGTTTTTGAATATTTGAAGCTTTCCTCAACATAATGGCCAAGCACATCATAAAATCAGAAGAACATTCACCTAAAATTCCTCAAAGACCTGATCCACAGCAGGTCACCGACAGAACATTTTTCATCGATGCAGCTAATCGGAACTTGACGGCCATCCCATTGGAGATACTAGCACTCAAAGAGTTAGAAGAAGTGCATTTAGAAAATAACCTGATTGAAGAAATTCCCAAGCATATTCAGCACTTAAAGAACATCAAGATCCTTTACCTGAACAAGAACAACCTGAGGAACCTCTGCCCAGAACTCGGTGGCCTGGGCAGCCTGGAGGGCCTGGATCTGAGCTACAACC